GAGCCAAAACCAAGAGTTGGATGCTTAACCAACTGAGACACCCAGGTGACCCTCACATTTAGGTTCTTAATATATTTTGAGTTTATGGGTGCTTGGCTGGCTCAGTCAGAAGAGCATGCAACTCTTGACCTCACGGTTGTAAGTTCAAGCCCCATGTTGGGTGTAGAAAATATTTAAAAATAAAATTTTAAAAATACATTTTGAGTTTATTTTTGTGCATGGTGTAAATAACTTCATTTCATAAGAACATTTTTAGGTTCACAGCAAAATTGAGGGAAAGGTACAAATTTTCCAGTATACCCTCTGCCCCAACATATGCATAGTCTCCCCCATTATTACTGTTCCGACCAGAGTGGTCAGTTACAATTGATGAACCTAACTGACAGTTTGCAAAGACTTCAAAAATTATTTCTACTTCTCTAAGAAGTATCTGTGGACTCATTATCATTATATTTTCCTTTAATTCTTTGAACATTTTCATAAGAATTGCTTTGAAGTGTTTCTCTACTAATTCACTCAAAGTCAATTTCTATTGGCTGCTGTTTCCCTTTATGTTGGTCATACTTTCCTATTGCTTTGAATGTCTATTAAGTTTTTATGGAAAACTGGACATTTTAGACAATACATTATAGCAATTCTGGATTCTGTTATATTTTTCTAAGATGGTTTTTCCCTGGAAACTTGCCTGTACTTAAACCTGTAGAATCCTCCTGTGGTGTGCCACTGGTGTGTCTGCTCAGTTTTTTTCTTTAATTCTAATTTTAATTTATTTCTAGAGGTCAGTGCTGTGTCTTCTTAATGTAGTAGTCAGCCAATGTTTTAGGCAGAGGTTGTACCCAAATACCTTAAGACTATAAGACTCCCATCCTCTGCTTATCAATGTATTTGTGGGATGGGAACCCTTTCAAACCTCCATTGGCTTTCACTCTTGCATGGCCTCTCCTGGGTCTCTCCCATTCATGCCTAGCTCCCCAGTTAGCCAAGGATGTGTGGAGGCTGTTGGTCAGCATTTCTATGGTTTTCTCACTTTGGGGCCCTTTCTGTCATATTTCTGGCTGGTCTGCTGCTTGCCCCACTTTGGACTGGGAGCTTGGGCTGGTAAGGCTGCAGGTGTTTGTCATCCATTCCCAACTAAACCCACCACTTTACCCAGCAAAACTGAAAACCTAAAATTAGATTTTTGCAGTCAGTCCCACATTGGTAAGGCTGCCATTTTTGCCAACCAAGCTGGGAGGGTTAAAGGGATGGGAGCAGCCTCCAGCAGTTTTTTTTTTTTTTTTAATGTTTTATTTTTATTTATTTCTAGGAGAGAGAGAGACAGCGTGAGCAGGGGAGGGTCAGAGAGAGAGGGAGTCACAGACTGAAAGAGGCTCCAGGCTCTGAGCTGGTAGTCAGCACAGAGCCCGACGCGGGGCTCGAACCCACAAACCGCGAGATCATGACCTAAGCGAAAGTCGGACGCTTAACCGACTAAGCCACCCAGGCGCCCCTGCCTCCAGCAGTTTTTAAAAAATGATGCTTCTTATTTTATTGTCTGCCTTTGGTGGATTTCCAGTGCCCTGAAGTAGTTGTGATTGACCATTTTCCCTAACACACACACACACACACACACACACACACACTTGGTTTGTTGTTTGTTTTTGCAGAAAGGAATTGACTACCTCTTCATACTGCCATAACTGAAGTCCATCTTCTCATTCTTTATTGTCATTTCAGATAAAGAAACTGAGTCTCAAAGAGATGAAGCAATTTGCCCTAGGTCATGCAGCTATGAAGGAAGGGAGCCAGAATTAAACCAAGGGGCTCTATTTGTAAATTAAAGTTTTTTAAAATGTTTTCTTTCTTTTTAAAAATTTTTAAATGTTTTATTTATTTCTGAGAGAGAGAGAGGGACAGAGTGAGCAGGGAAGGGTCAGAGAGAGGGAGACACAGAACCCGAAACAGGCTTCAGGCGCTGAGCCAGCTGTCAGCACAGAGCCTGATGCGGGGCTCGAACCCACAAACCGCAAGATCATGACCTGAGCCAAAGTTGGACGCTTAACCGACTGAGCCACCCAGGTGCCCCTATTTATTTCTGAGAGAGAGACAGAGACAGTGTAAGCAAGGGAGGGTCAGAGAGAGAAGTAGACACAGAATCCGAAGCAGGCTCCAGGCTCTGAGCTGTCAGCAGAGAGAGCCCTACGCGGGGCTTGAGCCTGGAGCTGTGAGCTCATGACCTGAGCCGAAGTCGGATGCTCAGTCGACTGAGCCACCCAGGTGCCCCTCTATTTGTGAATTTAAAAAGGCAGCTTTATGAAGTTTAGTTTCTGTTATTGTTAGCATCATACATCACTATCATACATTTGTCAAAGTGAAGAAACTGACATTGATATATTACTATTAATGAAACTCCAGAATTTATTCAGATTTCACCCCTTTTCCCAGTTATGCGATCTTTCTGTTTCAGGATCCAGTCCAAGGCACCACATTGCCTCTAGTTGTCAAGTCTCCCCAGTCTCTTCTGGTCTGTTACAGTTTCTAAGTGGTTCCTTTTTTTTTCTTTTTTTTTTAAATGACTTTGGCAGTCTGGAAAAATACTGGCCAGTTATCCTGTGGAATAGGATAGCAAGTCCTTCCGTCTGGATTTCTGATATTTCTTCCTCATGACTGAACTGTGTTTATGAGCTTTGGGAATGACCACCACAGAGGTGAGGTACCTTTCTCATCATATAGGGGGGATGTAACATTCACACATCTCTGGTGATGGTAACCATCGCTGGGTTAAGGTGGTGTTTACCAGATTTCTCCACGTAAAGTTTACTTTCTCCCTTTTCCCTTCCGTAGTCACTAAGTCTAGCCCACTTTCAAAGGGGCTGGAAGATTTAGTAGACCCTCCCCCGCTGCCGTCCCCCCCTGCCACCCCCTCCCCACCTGGTAGCAAGGAATATCTACATATATTATTTGGAATTCTTGTGTAAGGAAGACTTGGATCTTCTCTCTTATTCAGTCATTTATTTGTATCAGTATAGAGTCATGCATATTTATCTTGGACTTGGGTTATAAAAAATATTGCATTATTTATTTTGTTTCTCAGTTTGCTCCAGTTTTGGCCACTGGAGGTTCTTTGAGGCTACTCCCGTGTCTTTTGTTCTTGCTGCCATGTCCACATCCTCAATTTCTGGTAATACAAGATGCCGAAAATACATCTACAGTTTCCGTGCCCAACCCTAGAATCAGTTATTTCTTCAAGGAGTCCTGGCTCCTTTTGTTGGAGAACCCCTAGATCTGGGACTTAGGCATGCTCATTATTGCTGGGGTGTCACTGCTTATGGGCCTCTTGGGCGACTGAGGTATGTGAGGTATGTCAAAACTGACTTGTTACACATATAAATACTAAGCTAACCTTGAGTTCACTGTGGTGTCTCTGACTCCAATCCAGTACCACCCGGATCACTCTAGCCTTCCTCCATGCTTATCTCTTACCCCATCCGACAGAGAGAACTCTTGCTCCCACTATTGGCGGACCACTGACTAATTCACTCAATATCAGTGCGCATGTAGGCAATTCCCCCCGCCTCGGGAAACAAAGGTACCAACCAGAGTAGTGTTTATATGCAGCCCCTTTTGTGTTTAGCCTTGCGGTTTCCAGTTAAAATGCGGTTTTCCAAAATTACTTAGATCAGCTCCTTCTTTTCCCCCATCTGGGGGATCTGTTGTTATTGTTGTTGTTGTTGTTTTAATGTTTTATTTATTTCTGAGAGAGAGAGAGACAACGTGAGCAGGGGAGGGTCAGAGAGAGAGGGAGACACAGAATCGGAAACAGGCTCCAGGCTCTGAGCTGGCTGTCAGTACAGAGCCCTATGCGGCACTCGAACCCATGAACAGCGTGATCATGACCTGAGCCAAAGCCCGACGCTTAACTGACTGAGCCACCCAGGGGCCCCTGGGGGATCTGTTTTTTAACGGAAGTCATGGAGACCATCAGCTGGTTACGAGGAGACTGTGGAGGAGTTATTTCCTTTCAAAGACCCAAAGGCCATAGATAGATGGCAAATTAAAAATGGAAATTCCTGACCAGGACTCAAGAAAGAAAGAAAGAAAGAAAAAAAATACTTAACCCTTCTCTTTTCTGTCCTTGTGAAAGTAACAGCCCCTCCTAAGCAATACAGTGCGTCCAGTGCTTGCTAAGACTGGACCCGCGGCCTTCTTAGTTTTCACTGTGCTTACGCTTCAAGCAGAACAGGTATCTATAACAAATGTACATTGGGAGAGGCTGTAGAAACACAAGGAGCTTAATGCTGGCTTTGGGGCCATCCCCATCACACCACTGTCTCTGACACTTTGAGTTCAAACCCTGTCACCACTTTAAGCGTTCCTTATTTGACATTCTCAGTGTTTCCAGGCCCTTCTCCCAGCCCTGCCTAGCTGTCCCCCTAAAGCAAAAGGGAAAGTTTGAACTGAGCAGTCACAAGTGCTCTACCGCCCTCAAAGGGAGGACGGCCTGGGTTGTTATGGGATCTGCGGGTAACACATGGTACCCGGACGCTTGTGGGGTGCATACACTTCCGGAGGGCCTGGCGGGCAAGCCCTGGTGCACGTGGCCAGAGGGTGTGCAGGCGCTGTGGGGCCGCGGCCGTTGGGCGAATGAGCTGAGAGAGAGGCCGTGTGCAGCCAGGCTGCGTGCGCGCAGGCGTGGTGGTGGGCAGTGTATGTGTGTGGGCGTGGAGGGTGGGTGGAGCGCACGTGGCCGGCGGCTAGATGGCAGTCGCACGTGCTAGGGGGTTGCGCCGGCGCAGTTGCCAGGGGTAGCCGTACAGGGCCAGGGGCGTGCAGGCGTGGTGGGCGGTGTGTATGTGGGAGGAGGGGGGACAGCACACGTGGCCAAACGCGGCGCAGGCGTGATGGGCCGTGGCGGGGCAGTGAGTGCACGTGGCTAGGGGTGCGCAGGCGCGTTGGGGGGGGTGCGGGCACACGTGGCCAGGGCGCGCAGGCGCAGTGGCGGTGGGGCAGGTGGAGGCGGCATGGAGCGGTTACGTTGGCGAGTGGTGGCTGTGGCGACCGTGGGTCTCGCGCTGACCCTGGAGGTGCTACCCTCCGTGCTGCGCTGGCTGAGGGCCGGGCAACGGCGACGGCGGCAGAGGCCGCTGCGGCGCGAGGTGCTCTTCTTCCCGTCTCAGGTGACCTGCACCGAGGCCCTACTACAGGCCCCGAGCGAGGGGTCGTCGGGGCCCCCAGCGGGCTGCCAGTGCAGCCTGCCCCACGGCGAGAGTTCCCTCAGCCGCCTGCTGCGCGCCCTGTTGGCCGCCCGCGCCAGCCTCGAGCTCTGCCTCTTTGCCTTCTCCAGCCCGCAGTTGGGGCGCGCGGTGCAGCTGCTGCACCAGCGCGGGGTGCGCGTCCGGGTCATCACCGACTGCGACTATATGGCGCTCAACGGTTCGCAGATCGGCCTGCTCCGCAAGGCAGGTAGGTCGCGCCAGAGAGGCCGGGAGCCCTGGCTGAGGACTCGGGTCCGTGGAGCCGTCTGGGGAGGGTCATCAGGCCCCTCAGCCTGGCGAATGATTAGACTCTGTGACCTTAGGCAGTGGGGGGAATGTCAAAAGCACGTACTTGCGGGGAGGGGTCTGAGTATCGGTGAGACCCCATATATTTCCCATGGTGGCCTTGTGAGGTCAGGATAGTTTTAGCTTGGAGAGACTCCAGGGCCGTCTGTTAAAGAGCTCCTGTTCGCACCCAGTGTTATTATGCTGGATGTCTCTAGTGTGAGCCCGAGGGAGTGAGCAGGCTGTATGTTCCCAGCTAGTGGAGAAAGATCTGGGGGGTTCTCAGAGGCTGGGGGCCTGCCCAGTGACGCGGGGGAAGCAGACGGAGCTCCCGTGATTCCGGTTTCTGAGGACCGCCGTTGGCCTTGGGCCGCTGTGGGGAAAGCCGGTGCCAGGTAGAGCAGGGGATGTAGCCCCGCCAGCTGAGTTTTTGACACTGGAGACTGAAATGACAGAGGCTTAGCCAGGCAGCACTCAGGAAATCAAGGGCGAACTGGAAAAACAAAGTTGCACGGCCACCCGCTAGCTGACTCTCAGTGACCGTGTGCATAGGAGCAGGTGCGCCGAGACGGCGTGGGGTCTGGCTTAAGGACTGAGGGACTAAAGGAGGAAAAAGGCATTTCACTTTAAATGCACGAGTGAATTTTGTGCTGGGGCTTTTGAAATGAATAAAAATGATACACTAAAAAGTGGAGCTGGGCCACCTGGGTGGCTCAGTCGGTTGAGCGTTCGACTTCGGCTCAGGTCATGATCTCACGGTTCGTGGGTTCGAGCCCCGCATCGGGCTCCGTGCTGGCAGCCAGCTTGAAGTCTGGAGCCTATTTCAGAGTCTGTGTCTCCCTCTCTCTCTGACCCTCCCCTGCTCACGTTGTCTCTCTTTCTCAGAAATAAATTTAAAAAATATAAAAGTGGAGCTAACGAGTTTAGATGGTGAACAGTTAATTTCTTTCTCCACAGCAGGAGGACAGGTGAGACAGATGCCTCTGGCTGGCCTTTCTCTTGCGCTAGGATGGGGCCAGTTGAAGCGGGAAGTATGAATACTTTTGAAAAGGGTCTAAATTCAGATCCTGGGCTTACCTGTAAATTCTGTATTTCCTCCTCCATCAGTGTAAAGTGTGTTTTGCATGTTGGACTTAAGATCTCTTCTGAAGGTAGAGCTAACGGATTTGTTGGTTAGAGAAGTCGTGTTAGGGTCCCCTGGGTTAGGAGGGTTACAAGGCAGGGTTGCTGGCAAAATACAGGATGTCCAGGTAGATTTGAAGTTCAGATAAGCAACGAATAATTTTTAGTGTATGTCCCAAATATTGTGTGGGACATAGTTACTTTACAAAATTATCTGTAAGGGCACCTTGGTGGCTCAGTCGGTTGAGCGTCTGACTTTGGCTCAGGTCATGATGTCACAGTTCATGGGTTCGAGCCCCGCGTCGGGCTCTGTGCTGACAGCTCAGAGCCTGGGGCCTACTTCATATTCTGTGTCTCCCTCTCTCTCTGTCCTTCCCCTGCTTGCTGTCTCCCTCTCAAAAATAAACATTAAAAAACCATTTTTTAAAAATAAAAAGTATTTGTTGTTTATCTGAAATCACATTGTAATTTTAATTTGGACATCCTGTATTTTTATTTGTGAAGTCTGGTGACCCTGTTGCAAAGCAGCCTATTTTCAACTGTTCTCGTAAATCACATTTCTTACAATCTTGTCCACTGAGCAGATAACCGGTGAGGTAGGCATTATTCCAGGGTCAATGCAGAGGAGGATGGACAGACAGGTCCTGCCCGTGGGGAGTTTGAAAACAGTAGGAGAGAGACAGGAAAACACACGGCAAGGATTACAGGCTCTTTGGTGAGTGAAGGAGGCAGAGGGAGGGAGAATTTGGTTTTGCAGCAGTTAGACCTCTGTCTGCTTGGGTGGAAAGGCCCTGGGGCACGCTGGGGGTTAGCGGCCCCAGCGGGCTGGCTTCAGGTGGAGCCAGTCTCCTCGTCTGCAGCCCCAGGGCCTGGTTTCTCCCGTGGTCTTCTTGCTTCAGGCGCCTCCTCCCCTTGCGCAGTGGGCTGCAGTGCTGGCGTGTGTGGGGTTTCCCGGGCGCTCCGGTTCCAGGGCTGCGCACCGGGAGAGCTCAGAGGCAAGGAAACCACAGTGAACAGTTGTTGCCCTCACCTCTCGGGCAGGGTCAGTGATGGGCCCTCCCGGAACCAGTGACCCAGGATGGTGCTGGTTGGTGCATACTTGACAGGTGCAGCTGGGCAAACCTCACCCAGGTTCCAGGGCTGGTTGTCTGTGCCAGAAAGTGAGCTGTGTGCCCTCAGGGTCCGCGTGTGTGTTGCCGTCCCGCCCCTCAGGACTGTCTGTTGCCCGCCCCCTCTCCCCTCCCCCAGTCCTGGGCCAGCATGCTCCCGATCCTTGGCCTTCCCTCCTGTGTGCTGGTGGTGGCTGGTCACCATCTGGCTCGGCCACCACCACCTGCCCAAGTGTGACAAGCTTCCCATCTCCTACCAAAGCAGAAATAGCCAGCGCAGGAGCTGCTGGAAAATGGTGTGCACTTGAGGAGGGGATGTTTGAGGTGACAGTGTGTAAGAGGCAGTGGGGAAGGCTGACTTGCCCTTTTTGCAGGCATCCAGGTGCGACACGATCAGGACCTGGGCTACATGCATCACAAATTTGCCATAGTGGACAAGAAGGTGCTGATCACGGGCTCCCTCAACTGGACCACACAAGCCATTCAGAACAATAGAGAAAATGTTTTGATTATGGAGGATGAGGAGTATGTGAGGCTTTTTCTGGAAGAATTTGAGCGTATCTGGGAAGAGTTTAATCCTACAAAATATACCTTTTTCCCACAAAAGAAGAGAAGTCACTGAAGCTGTGCTCTCCTCTGTCTTCAGAATTCGAGGGGAGAGTGGTGTTCAGTGTTACAGAACTTTTTGTCCCTGCCTTCGAAACCAGACCAGTCCCACAAAGGATGGGATGCGGGACGGGCCTGTGCCTGCCTAGAGCGGCGGCTGGTTTCAGTGTCAGCCTGTGCATTCTATGAGAGAAATCTCAGCGTTCGGAAAACACTCATTCGGACTCTGTTCTCATTCATTAAAGTATTAAAGTGAACTGCAGAAAGGGGGTCAAAAGGAAGGGGAATCCCTACACCCCCAACTCTGTTGTTAACGGTCAGCTTGTTTCCCAGCAGGGGTCTATTTGGCTACAGCTTTTCAGGAGTGGGTGCCCTGGAAATCACCTGCTACCTTGGTCCGGGTTTCTCCTGCTATACAGAAAAGTCTGATTCCCTTTCCTGATTCTAGAATCTCTTGCTTTAGGATCAGCTCCCCTGGCACTATCTCCTGAACTGCCTCCTCCTTTCCTGTTGTCCTGGCTGGTCCCTTCCAGCACAGCTAACCCCTGGGTTGGGCCAGAGGTGAGCAGTCTCGCCATTTCTGCTGTCACCAGCTCGTTGGTGCTTATTGGCAGGCTTGAGGTTAAGGAGAGAAGTCAGGGAGGTAAAATGCCAGGAGAGAGGGGTGCCGGGCACGGCAGGAGCGGGGAGCCCCTTCCAGGGCCCCCTGTGGGCATTGGTTGCCATCGCAGTGGGCGGATCATTCTCCTAGCCGGGTTTCCTGGCATGATGACCCTTTAAAATAAATACACATGAGAAAAAAAAGAATACCACAAGTACCCATGAAAATGTTCATCCTCCACAGTTGCTCTTCTGTTTTCATCCTGGTGAATTGCACGGTCTGTCAGCAAGGGCTGTTAGTGGCCAGAGGCTGCTTCTGTTTCTGTATGTTATGCCTTTAATTGTTTACATGCTCATGTTCAAGGTAATTTTGTGCGCTTAGAAGTGACCTTCACTCTACCACCTGTGAACTTGCCTGATTGGCATTTTTGGCTCAGCGTAATCAATCATGAGTTACCTGACCGTCTGGAGGAATAAACTAGAATAGAGACCAGTTTCAGGCTGTAGCACTTCACAGATCTATTTTTATTCTCAGCTCAGGGATTTGCTTTCACCGTAATTAGAATAGCTATCTTATGTATGTTTGTGAAATGTTAGATTATTTTTTCATTAATGTATCTTTATAGAGATTTTTCAAATGACACCTGAATGGTGATTTGGCCATCTTGTCCTGTTTCTGCATGTAATATGCGGTGACTCGTCCTGACGTCTTTTGGGTGGGTTTCACTCTCCCCATCACAACTCATGGTGCCACCCGGTGAGACCACTCCTTGTTGTAGGTTTTTCCCTGTTTAAAGCTACTTTTGACTTCTGTGTTAGGCAAGTAAGTACAAAGTTAATTTTCCTGACTTAATTGAAGCTATAAAGTATAATATATGGATTGGAATTCACAGAAATGGTTTTACACTAAATGTTTTTTTCCCCAAGTCTGTATGTACTCCAGCAGCCTGTGTTCTGAAAACAGGGGTTGTAGAATGTGTCCTGGGCGCTGCAGTCGTGTTGTCCTGGACGTCTGCATGTTTAAATAAATGTGTTCTTACTCCGTTAGTAGTGTATCTTTGTCTTTTGCGGACTCAAGTCGTGGGTGCTGTTTATTAAACAAACAGCATTTGGGGGGGAGTGGACAACATACAGCTATTTAGAGACTGCTGGTCAAGATGGGAGCCCGAAGCAGGAGTAAGACCCAGAGGTGTTCCTTGGGGGCCTTCTGAAGTGTTCTCCAAGACGTCCATGCGGCTTGTGGCAGGATCTCCTGCGTTTTCCTCTCCAGCCTGTGAAGGTTGGCCACGTGCAGCCTGCTCTCCCAGCGGCGTCTGGGTGTTTGCTGTGACTGCACCCCCTTCTTCCAGAAGCAGGCTGGTGTTCAGACACAGGGCACAGCACCGCATGTGTTAGTTACCGCGTGTGCATAAGGTGACCTAGCCAAGCCCTCCGGATGAATGTTTTCAGAATTCTGAAATGATCTCTTAAGACTTTTTATTTAATGGCTTTGTTTATAGTTATCTTCATTATCTTAGCAGTAGGAAATGAAATCTCACAACAAGATTCAGCTAATAATCTTTCTAAAAAGAACCGCGGTAAGAAAACACTTCCTCCTGCAATCCTTATGATTAAAAACCACTGCTAGAGTAGGAGGTGGCCGCAGTAGTGCCCACAGCTGTCAAGTAGGTTTGAATGAACCAATACAACGATACTGTATTTTTTTTAGGCTTATGTATTTAGAGAGAGACAGAGACAGTGCAAGGCAGAAGCCGTGAAGCTATGAGATCATGACCTGAGCTGAAACCAAGAGTTAGACTCTTAACTGAGTGAGCCACCCAGGCACCTCAGCTATATTGTATGTTTTTTAGTAATTTTTTTTTTCATTTTTTGAGAAGAGACAGAGACAGAGTGTGAGCAGGGAAGGGGCAGAGAGAGAGGTAGACACAGAACCTGAAACAGGCTCCAGGCTCTGAGCTGTCAGCACAGAGCCCAACACGGGGCTTGAACTCATTTACTGTGAGATCACGACTTGAGCCGAAGTCGGACGCTTAACTGACTGAGCCACCCAGGTGCCCCTTGTATTTTTGTTTTAAAGTTTATTTATTTTGAGATAGACAGCAAGCAGGGGAGGGGCAGAGAGGGGGAGAGAGAATCCCAAGTAGGCTATGTGGAGCACGATTTTGGGCTCGAATTCATCAACAGTGAAATCACGATCTGAGCCACCTAAGTGCCCCACAGCTATATTGTATTTTAAAGCATGTTTTGGTTCCTTTGATTTTTTTTAAATGTTTTATTTCTGAGAGGGAGAGAGAGACAGCATGAGCAGGGGAGGGTCAGAGAGAAAGGGAGATAAAGAATCCGAAACGGGCTCCAGGCTTTGAGCTCGTTGTCAGCACAGAGCCCAACGTGGGCTCGAACCCACGAACCGTGAGATCATAACCTGAGCCGAAGTTGGACACTTAACTGACTGAACCACCCAGGCGCTCCTTGAATTGTTTTTAAAACAGCTGGTTACTTTTATTTTTTTAATGTTTATTTTTGAAGGAGAGACAGACAGAATGTGAGCAGGGAGGGGCAGGGAGAGAGAGGGAGACACAGAATCCGAAGCAGGCTCCAGGCTCTGAGCTGTCAGCACAGAGCCCGACGCGGGGCTCAAACCCACAAACTGTGAGATCATGACCTGAGCTCCAGGCGCCCCTGGCTGGTTACTTTAGGGGAGGGGAAAAAAAAAACAAAAAACAAAAAACCACCACCTTTCATTGAGATTCATATGTGAATCATACATGAAAAGATTCACCCTTTTAAAGAATGTAATTTGGTGGTTTTTAGTACATAACAGAGTTGTGTGGTCATTGCCACTCTTGGATCCCAGAGCATATTCTTCATCCCAGAAAGAAACCATGTCCCAAGAGCAGCACTCTCCATTCTTCCCCACTCCCAGCCCTTGGCAACCACTGTCTACTTCCTGTCTCTGCCTGCTGTGGATATTTCATATAAATGGAATCCTACAGTATGTGGCATTTTTGTATCTGCCTTCTTTCAGCATGTTTCTGAGGGCTGTCCCTGTTGGAGCACGTGCATGTCAGTATTTCACTTCTTTCTGTAGCTGAATAATATTCTATCATGTGGATATACCACACACACAAAAAATCATCATTTGGTGGACATTGTGGTTTCCAGCATTACAAAATGATGCTGTAAATGTTTCACATGTAAGTGTTCACACTGACATGTTGTCATTTCTCATGTACATACCTAGAAGTAGAATTTGGGGGTTACAGAACTCTATTTGAGAGTGTTTGAAAAACAGATTGTTTTCTGTTCCGACCAGCTGTGTATGTTCCTTCTTCTCCCCATCCTCGCCAACCAAAAATTACTACTGACTTTTTAAATTATAGCCAACTCACTGGGTGTGAGGCAGTGTGTCTAATTGTGGTTTAGACTTGCATTTTCCTGAGGACTAATGATGATGAACATCTCTTCATGTACCAGTCATTTGTATAGTCTTTGTAGAAATGTCTATTCAGGTCCTTCACCTATATTTTAAGTATTGGGTTCCCTTTTTATTGTTGAATTATAAGTTATGAGTTATGACCTATAAATTATAAGGATTGTAAGAGTTCTTTTTATATTTTGGACTCCAGTCTCTTATGAGAAGTATGATTTGCAAATAATTTCTTCCATTCCCTGTTAGTCTTTTCACTTTCTTGGGTACTGTTTGCATTTGTGTATTAGTAATACCTGTTTTTACCGCTGCTGTGTGGATTTTGGTGTCATATCTAAGAAACCATCACCCAAGCCAAGGTTGCAAAGATTTGCTTCTTTGTTTTTTTCTCAGAGTCTTATACTCTTAGCTCTTATGTGTCAGCCCATGAATCTTTTTTTTTTTTTTTCAGGTGTTATATATTCAGAAAATGATTCAACTATGGAATGATGTATTTTTAGCACTATGTAATCCAGTGTTTGGAAAAAGTGCTTTCCCCCTGAAATTCTGTTTATAACAATATTATAATCCTGGAAATGCTCTTATCTGAAGTTTTTCATGCATTTGGGTATTTTGCATGATGCCTGATATGACCAGTAATAAAGGTTGCAATGAAGTAGTAACTATGATCACAACAGGGACTCTCTTTTCTGTACAGACAGCTATGAAGTTACCAGGAAGAAACTGTCCATCTGAAAGGAACTGGTCATCTTTTCTCATGACCAATTAGTATGTCCAGCTGAGAACCTGGATAAGACCACAAGATAGGTGTCATCAGAAGCCTTCCCTTTACTTTGATCTGATCCCAAATGTTCACTAAAGACCTTTTTGCCTCAAGGACAGAGCGGCTGGGTTGTAAACTGGAGCAACTGCTGACGCAGATTTGTACTTTCCAGGATTCTTCCGACACAAATTGGAGCTCCATGGCCTCTCATGGAACGGCCCAACATAGACATCCTCTGGGGGTCCACTGGAAAATTGGCATTTATGAGTTGAGGAAGCTCCTCAATTACATTAGAGTGGATCCTGGAGTTAGTTTTCCAAGGCTCTTCAGTGGCGTCCACACAAACCCAGCACCAGTGCCAAAGTCCCCGCCTTACCTTCTCCCTTAATACTTCAGTCACGTGTGCTGGTATCTGGAACAATGACAAGGACATGTCCTGGAGCAGCTTGATAATCTTTCATACAAAATTTTGTTGTGTGCAAGTTAAACAAGAGCCAATATAGTGCAGGGCATTTTCCAGTTTCTGCCTTTGGTGGTAAGTAGATAGCAAATTTCATTTTGCAGTTCAGTTCAACCCTGTCATGTTCAAAAACTTTCTGCAATCCTCCAAAGCACTTGTTGCTGTCAGTGCTTCAATGCCAGTTTTTCCTGACCAATTGCTACTTGCTTTGCTATCTGAACCAAAAGGTAGATGATCCTTGGGGGTCAGTGGTGGTGAGAAAAGTAGTAGTTGGAATGGAAAGGTGAGGCCTCAACGTGGCTGCCCATGCCACCTTCTCCAGTCTCTCAGTCTCATCCCTGACCCCCACTGGGTCCAGTTTCGGGTCAGGTCTATGAATAATTTTGAGTTAACTTTTATGTGTTGTGTGAGGCAAGGGGTCCAACTTCATTCTTTTATATGTGGATAGCTAGTTGTCTCAGTACCATTTGTTTAAAAGATTCTTTCCCCCCTGAATGGTTTTGGTACTCTTGTTAAAAATCACTTGATTACCTAAATGCATTTGCTTATTTCTGGATTCTTAATTCTGGTCCATTGATCTATGTCAGTCCCTATGCCAGTACACATGGTCTTGACTACTTAGGCTTTGTTCTAAGTTTTGAAACCCAGTAAGTAAGTCCTTTAACTTTGTTCTTCTTTTCAACATTGTTTTGGCTATCCTGGGTCCCATTACATTTCTGTAGGAATCTCAGGATCAGCTGATCAGCTTTTGCAAAAGCAGCTGGGATTGTGATGAATCTGTAGATCAAGTTGGAGAGTATTGCCATTCTAACAGTATCGTATTTTCCAATCCATGAACATGGGATTCCTTTTCGTTTGTTTAAATCTTAATTTTTTTGTAGTTTTTTTTTCAGTAAGTCTTACACTTCTTTTAAAAAATTGATTCCCAAGTGTTTTATTTTTTTTGATGTTATTGCAAATGGCATTGCTTTTTTAATGTTTCAGATTGCTACTAAATAGTTCATTTTTATATATGAATGTTGTATCCTGCAAAATTAGACTTCATATCAGTTTTAATAGACTCTTTTAGTGGATTCCTTTGGGCTTCCCATATGCAAGATCATGTTACCTGCAAATATAGTTTTACTTCTTTCTTTTCTACATGGATGTTTTTCTTATTTCTTGCCTGGCTAGAATCTCCAGTACAGTGTTGAATAGAAGTGGCGAGAAGAGATATCCTTGTCTTGTTGATCTTCTGGGGGAAGCTTCCAGTTTTTCACCATTAAGTATGTAGTTGTGGGCTCTTTATAGATGTTCTGTATCCTGTTAAGTTTGCTTACTTCTGTTCCTAGTTTGCTGAGTGCTATTTATCATGAAAAGGTGCTAAATTTTCTAGATGCCGGCTGATTTTCACAAGTGCACTTACAGCTTTTAAAAATGTTAAAGATTGGTCTAAATGTATTAGACCAATGTCTAAAATTTTTTTCACAAAAAAATTAAACACCTTTAACTCGAATAGCACACTAGATGTATACTTTATATGTCTGTGCTCTATTTAAGTTTTATGAATTCTACAAGTTGATTTCCAATAGGTAGAGTCAGGTTTTCTTATTTATTGAATAAAAGTTTGGATTTTCACACATTTTCACCTATTTCATTCCAAAGGTTGTGGCAATATTGGAAAAATCCACTTTACTTTAAATTTATTCAGTGGGTCACAACTATAATTTTTAAAAAAATGAAACAGAATATGGGGTGTTCTCTTGTGAAATTTTGGGTTATAGTTGGTGTGTGTGCATTGAGTCATGAGGTAGGATGTATTTTCTTTTTTAAACACAAAGTAAAACTTTATTGTGAATAAACCTAACAAGGGGCAAATATGAGAGAATTATAGTTCCTTGATTGATAGTTCTAGCTCCTTCCTCTCCATAGTATTTCTTACGATGGTTTCGGCCTCTCCTGAAGGTTTCTAGAGCAGAGCCAATGTACCTTCATTTGATTCATGATATAAAATATTTACTATGTGTTGTATGTGAACACGGGCGTTTTTTAAAGTTTTTTTTGAGAGAGAAAGCGGGAGTTGGGGAGGGACAGAGGGAGGGCAAGAGACAGAATACAAGCTGGCTCCCTGCTGTCAGCGTGGAACCCAACAGGGGCCTCAAATTCACAAACTGTGAGATCACGACCTGAGTTGAAGTTGGATGCTTAACTGACTGAGCCCCCCAGGTGCCCCACGATACAGATTTTTATGTGAAATCTCCTGATTTTAAAATGCTGATACCAAACTTTGAAGACATTTTTTTTTTTAAAGCAGTCTATAATAAACAGGAAAAAAAAAACAACCTCCATTATAAGTCTCTAGGCTACTGACTGGTTTCTGTATTTTGACCTAAATGAATATTGTGCACGTCTCTCCATCGAACAAACTCCCGTTCACAGCATGCCAGGGTGATGCAAAAATAGTTTATTATGATATAGTTTATGTAAAGTTAGGTAATATTTACAAAGTAGAAACGATCAGCTGCATCCATGGGAATCGAGCAGGTCACACAAAGGAATAAATATTTTGACAAAGGAACACCTCAATTGTTGTGAACAGTTGTTCAGAACCGGTTTATTTAAAAAAAAAGCTTCAGTGAAACCATCAAAATGTTGAATTGTCAGAAGAGCAAGCAGCTTAGCTGACCGGGCTCACCTCTTCAGGAGGGCGGTGCAGCTGGACAGAAGATGCCCACCCCCACCACGGCAGAGCCCTGGGGCCACCACAGCACGGATGTGGGGCTGGAGGGCTGTCGAACCTGGAGGCCTCAGCATGTGACGTTGTTTGGTGAACGTTACCACTTAGTGTTAGTACAGGAATGAAACCCCGGTTAGAATTACATGGGCTAGTTGTTTGAACACGGTATCACCTGACTGTTGAAATGATTAGCTGTGACAGAAGTCACTGCTGTGGATTATTTCCAAACTTGTCACAGCAAAAAGTTATCTGCATGTTCCACTTTGTTCATGTATCAGCTCCCACAGCTGTTCGGCATAGTGTTGTCATCCTTGGTCGCTGAACCGAGACATTCCCTCTGACATAGTGTATACTTGTGAGAAAAGTTATGAAGAATTACAACTGGTGAGGAGTTACTTAGAAGTTTTACACTTTATAAATATTACTTAGGAAAACCACATGAATTCTTAGCACTTAACTGGTTTTAAGTCCTAACAGTAGGTCAGTAGAGAAGTCAATACTAAAGGTAAATCCTAAAATCAATTGTAAGTGGTTTTGTGGTATAAACATAACACAGTAATGACTTTAGTGTTCTTTATATAATCTATTTCTAGCTTTCTATAAAACAAAACTGAAATATGTGATACAACTAGTTGTAAAGGGCACAAGACACGTGACGGGCGGCAGGCCGACTGTGTCCAGCGACCACTGCTCTTCCAGAACTTTATTCCTTCTTGTGTTCAAACTGGGTCCTGAGAAGCTCCTCCCTCCCCCACCGGCCCCTGACCAATGCCCACAGACCGTGTGCTTCACCCTCGGGACCTCTGCGTCCTCCTGGGTGAGCCTATGCACTGGATGAGCAGGTCTCCCGGATGTTCCCTCCTCAGAGTGACACAGACACATGCTGTAAAGGGACATCGCTGGCAGCTCTGCACCCTCGATGCTTCCCCTGGGATCTGGGGGTGCGGGCGGCACACAGACACCTGGCCCGGCAAGGTGTCACAAGTCCCCCCACTCAGGCCGCTTGGGCCAGAACTATGCTTTCCATGAAGTCTCCCAGGTTGTCGATTTCCACGGAAATGTCTGAGGAAGACTGCTTTTCCCGGAGGATACTCTGAACGGTGAGCTGGGAACAAGTATGACAGAGTTCTTCCAGAGAAAACATGCATGGATGCAGGGCTCCTGTTACTTCAGATGCTGTCATACACTCCTTAAAACCGCCTGTGAAGTGACTGAAGCTGTTAACAAGGTGCATCACTCATTAGAAACATTTCCTTATCACGTTGGGTGGCGTTCTAGGTTGAACCCAAAGCCATCCTCCCTAGCTTACAAAGGGATGCCTGCATTTATTTTTAAACCAAATCCACACTAACTTTGTCACAAAAATCCCTGTATTAACTTCTGAGTAATATTTACACTGCCCCCTCTGCATTATGTACAGGTTATTTTGAAGAAAATAAACACAGCTGCTTCTATAGAGAAGCTGGAAGCCAGCGAGGTGGGCATTGGCTTCTCTCCACAAGGCCTGCGCTGACACCTAGGGGGATGGGGCCCAAGCTGTGCTAGGGCAGGTGGCCCTTGCTCCCTACAGCCTTGCTGGCAGCCTTGCTGGGTGTGGTGCTGAGGTATTCCTCCTACTCTGCTGAGACTCCTCTGTTGAAAGACTTCAAGAAGAGAGACCTCTTCCCTTTAATAAAGAAACAAGAATACTCAAAATTGTTCTCAGAAGGGCAGAAGAATGAGGCTGGGTCTTTTCCAGCAGACAGCCCTTGAGAGAAATTGATGTTTGTTTTCGTACTGCCATTATGTCCTGTCTCCCTCTCAAAAACCTCAAACAAATGGTTTTGCTAGACTCACTTCAGGCTGGTTCTTATTTAAACTTTCCACTGTGGAAAGTATGGCCTCGCTCAAAGTGTCCAGGTGCGAGAGCACACGGCACCATGCCCAAGTACGACGGACCCCATCTCCTAAGAGCACTTTGAGGGCTGGGCCGACATGGCCAGCTGTGGGAGGGGCATGTCCCACAGTGTCCTACGTGGTGCCGAGAACAGCAGACTCTACCTTTTGACCAATCTCAGGTGGATGGGAAGAGCTTTCCTCGGATCAGAAGCCTACTGTCTGAGCTCATGCCTTTTAGGTATCGTAGCACTTGCTGAGCAGATAGGCGCAAGGGCCTACGATGAAAGATGAAAAAAATCGGTGAGCATATACCTGAACTGTAAAAAGTGTCAGCACAAGCAAGTTTTCAGCAGCACCTTCCCAAAGGCCCCGAGAGCTTGCTTGCCGATTCCAGCTGATGGGAGAAAACGTCCAGGTGGCACTTGAGATCTGTTGATGAAGTATTCCAAATGACAGAAGTTTCTGCGAAGTGAAGCTTCCAATGAGTATGACAAGCTTTTATCCTTTTAGTATCTGCTTCCTTTTAAGTGTGATAACTGTTTCCCTATCCGTAAGACTTTAAAATCCCCCCTCCCTCCCACCTTTCCTGGTGATAAAGGATCACTGAATTCTGTATTTTCTGGCTTTCGAAGTTGTGTATACAACGGAAAGGTAAAATTGCAGCAAGCTTCTGGGGGACAATGATGGTGACACTTTCAGGACTACTTTTAGATTGAAGAAAATGTGCTGATGGGCCACTTTCTTTCCACTCTACGTGAAAACAGCTTGGAGTGCCTGGATAAGAGCTGGTGTGTGGTTAGCCATGAACAGAGCACACGGGGCCTGAGATCAGGCCATGTCCGAGCGGGCCTGGGCAGCTCATCCCAGCGCAGGGCCTTTGGGAGCCAAGGGAGTTTCTAGCAAGTATGGGAGGGAGAAACCTTTTAAACAGAAATACACCACCTGCTGGCTCATCTGAGTGGGGAGCACATGTGGGGGTGCCCGCAGTACTTCCCTGTCACCAGCAAGCTGGCGGGCACCCCGGCACAGCCGTGTCACTTATAGCCCAAGAAAAGTGGCCACGGGGCAGATGCTTGGCCTCCAGCAGGGGTGGGGCAGACAAGTGCTGTCTCAGGCCCAGGCCCAGGTTAAAAACACACGTGCCAAAGGGACCGCCAGGCAGCAGTGACATGGAGTGTTCCAGCTCCTTCCGTGGTGAAGTAAACACCATTAAATAGAGCTCCATAAACTTGTTTTCTTATGGCATCAACTTTGTTTTTTGGCCTTATTAACTGTCACGGTTCCTTGCAGGCAGACTCCGAGGGTTACAACTATGTTTCTTAAGAACCGCAGTTACCTCTCTTCCTGAGTTTGGCCGCTGTTAGGCACCCTGATGCCTAGCTGTTGGGTCAGTGAGCTAGTGACTGGTTGGTCCACGGTGTGACAGATTCCACTTAAGTAGCCAGAGCCTGGAGCTTTCCCTTGTTCACAGCCTTTCCACTCTCTGGACTCATAGGGAGGAGCCTCTGATCCTGGTTCTTGACCAATTCACATGTTCCTCTCACGGCCTCACCTGTCACCCCTTGGATGGCCCTAACCACCTCCATCAAATTCAGACCCATTTTGATGCCTTACGGCACAAGCGTCAATTTCCAAAGGCAAAACGTTTTGCCACACGTCTGCCAGGGAGGCTGCAGATAGCCGCTGTCACCAGAATGTTAGCTTCTAAATCTACTCAGGCAATGGCAGCACACACAAAGATAAAGGAACTTGACTGGCAGCAAGTGGCTCTTCATGGTGTGTGTGCATGCACGTGTGCAGACGTGTGCATGCTGTAATTTACACATACGTTCACAGAACCTGTCAAATGGTTCCGTTTTCCTGTTCACATGTTTGGTGTGCCTTATGTGGCAGGTGCTAGCGGACCACAGTGGACTAGTGACCATTTACAGGAAAATAATTACAGCTGTGAAGACTGGATCCATGTGCTCATCTCCCCCTGGGAAGTGGGGACGCCCCCCACTGCTTGGTTGGCACCAGGGGCAGGGTGAGCACCCCGAGTTCACAATCACTACAGTGCCCCATCCACCAAAGGACACTTCTCCACCAGCACAGAAACCAACTCCACCCCCACAACTTTATTCTTTTTTCTCTTGGGAACTTGGTGGCTAAATTCCTCCTCGGGGTTTTGGGTGGTCTACGGAGAGCATGCACAGTGGATTGGAGTGCTTCAGGTAAGTGAAGACCCCCTTATCTTGTTCTGTCTGCTCACTCCAGCCAGAGGACGGGCTTATCAGCAGGTGGCTCAGACTGGGGTCTAGGCCACAGTCGTCACTATGCGATGCTCAGCAAGACCCGGCGAGGTTCGGGGCCTTTTCTGGAGGCTGCAGCAGGAGGAGCCTTTTGCTGGAGAGAAGCCAGGGCGCACCCATCTCTGGCCCACTCCTGGTAACAGCCAGACTGAAGCATCCCAGGGGAGTGAGCTTCACTGTCTCTGGGGTGAGGAGGCGGAGCCTTCAGAGGCTGCGGGGACCGGTCTCTTTCTTGGTCTCTGCCTTGCACCTCCATATACTGCCCTCAGCACATTTGTTCCCAGGGCGCCAGGGCTAACTGATGAATACGAGCATGCAAAGCACTCTGACCTACTTGAAGTACTGCAGGTTTCACACCCTTGGCACCGTCTGAAGGCAGATGGGGCCTCATTTCATGCAGGGACCTTGCCAGGAAACCAGAAGCCAGAGAGGGCTGGCTCCAGGGGGCCGCCTGGAAAAGGGCCCCAAGTCCCCAGAGGCAGGAGGGACACTCACAGAGGAAACTGCACTAGATGAGGGGAGTTCTCCGAAGCAGTGACCTGAAACCGTGGTGCTGACACAGCCTGTGTGGAGAGCAGGCAACAAGGCCCTGACCCCGTCAGCTGGTGCTCGTCATCACCTCACTTTCTGCCCTGGAGGACACATGCGTCACACACTGTTCTAGAGCCCGAATGGACACGGGGGCCTGAGCATCTCCTCTCCCTCACATTCTGAGCGGCGCACACACAAAACCACGGTCCTTTCTAAAATGCTGCCAATCTACATGGGAGGGGGAAGGGTGAGGTGTGGGGAATGGTGTCTGGTAAGTGGCGTTGAGAAACCAGACCTAATATTCTTTTGCTTTTGAAAACATGGAAGAATAGCACAAAGGAGTGACAGGTGTGGGTTAAGACTCTGGAGGCTGGTGAACAGAAAAGGCTTGATGCCAGCGGAGACCTCAGGGTTTATTCCTGGGAGAAGACTGTACGCCCCAGGCCCTTCTGCCCAGCCTTCCAGGGCTTTCCCCGGATGAGCCTGTTAACTGCATCTAGAGACTGAGCAAGGTGACATTTCGACTCCCAAAGTACCCATGTACCCGACTGCGCACCTGATCATCGACACAGAGTGAAAGCGTGCTCTTGGCAGTGAAATCAACAGGCAACAGCGGCGGCGAGACCGTCACAAGTTCCTCCCAAGACTAGCGCAGCGCAGCGCTCCCGGCCGTTCTGCAGCCACAGACGGCTTCCCACTCAGCGCGGCTTTGTTTACACCCCTCATCTTAACAGTATTAATCATTTTCCTGGCACCAGGATGGAAGCCCCAGTGTAAGAGATTTTCAAGAACTGCTGTTGTGTTTCATGGCAGGTAAAGAGGTCTTATCTTACTGTTAGAAAAAGCAACATTGTTAGTACAGACTTGCTTTAGGCTCCCTGAACGCTGCGCAAGAACCTCTCAGAGCTCAGATTAGAGTTAAAAACATATAATAATGGCAGTTTTCATCTGATTCCGACATCCTCTGTACTTTCTTCTTGACTTAACATAGGGGTCTTCGCTCAACCTTCTCAAAAACAACATGGAGGTTTCTTTCTGAAAGGTTACAGACCAGAACCGTCTTTCCCCTTGACTGATTCCCCAAGGGAATCCATCACGCTTTGCAAGCACAGTCTGAAACCCCAGGCCGCAGGTCAACCCTCTTAAGTTGTTAGGAAGAGACCAGGGCTACTGGTGACCAAGAAAGGAGCGAGCGTAGGAAGGAATGAGAGGGGCCGGGGTTTTGTGCAAGATTTAATAAAAAACAAACAAAAATAGGAGTGGCTGCTTTCGACATTTTCCAGGTTGTGAAAGGCTTCCCGGGATTATCAGGGGTGCGGCTGTAAGCTGAATCAGTGGGACCAATACAAAACGCCGTCCTCCTCCCAAGCCAAAGGTGGTGACCGGGGGTTGCGACCCACGCCCCCTGACCTGCTCCCCTAGCTCCTCCCGAAGGCTAGTGAGTTGTTGGTGCCACCACCTGACGCCCTACTCTTTCCGAGGGCCTCAGACGCGGCAGAGCGAGAACCGCCCGGGCCCTGACACCCCGCACAGTGCACTCGGCAGGACGAGCTAGCTTATCGACAGGCTGCTGGGCCTTAATACTGACGGTGAGTGCGGTGGGCTGCGGCGGGAGGGGGCTCTGCGCAGACCTGGCCAGGAGCTGACAGCCCTCCTGGCCCCCCAGGGCCCCCCCGCTGCTTGGCAGATTTTCGAATACCATGGGAACAAAGCTTTGACAAAGACACAGGAAGTTGGAATCAACACAGCGGGGAGCGGTGTGAACAACCCATAAACCAGTCTCTCATGCATCCATACCCACAGTTAATGATGACAACAGTAACAACAGTAATAAAAAATAAAGGTACAGACAAGAAGCAGCGCTTGGGTAGTGCTGCCACGAGCTGGGAGGGGTGTGTGTTCGAGTTGAACGGGACACAGCTAGTCTTTCTTCAAGTCCCTGGATTCAAAGAGCTTCAAGCGTTCTTGCACAGTCAGGCCTTCTTTCAGACTCTGGGTGGACACGAGAGCAGGAGAAAAAAGAAACAAACCGTTAACACCGGGCCTGGCGCCATGTGTGCAGGCTGCAGTTGGACAGAGGTGCGGGTGCCGGGACGGAGGGCGGGGTGGGAAGGGCTCCTTGAGAGATTAGTGGGGCATGCTAAGGAGAGAGCTGTCCCCTGTGAAACGGTGTTATCTGGATGAAAAAGGAAAAAACCAGAGAAACAGACCACGTGTGTAAGCAGCTAAATTCTGAGCTTAGGGCCCTTTAGACAAGCAGTGATCAGATTGATTCAGCCAGGGGACAAAGCTGTGCCAAGAGCTAGACATCCCCCCGTCTCTGTCCTCCTCCCGTGGGCTCTCTCCACATCGGGTTCTTCCATGACTGTGATGCTGAGCCTCGTGAGGAGGACAGCGGGGGACCCAGGGGCATTGCTGGCGGCACGAAGCCGGGGATCCTGCTCCCTGGGCTATGCCCGGGCAGCGCCAGCTTCCCTCTGGGCTGCTCCCTGGTCAGCAGCCTTTGTGGCTTTGTGGTTACTGGGGACCTGGAAACATGTGAACATATTTACTAAAATGTTCAGAATGTGAAACCAATACTCCCTTCAAGTGTGACCTTGGTAATTTTGAAATCTGTGTGTTCCAGGATGAATGACACTTTACTAACTGGGGGACAGAATATTTCCCCTTTTACTCTTAGACGCGTCTCCCAAAGATCTAGCTTCTCAACAAAAAAAGGAACATCACTTCAGAGCATGGCTGAGGGTACTCGAGCACCGGCGCGCACGGGGCTGGTCCCTTACTGGCCACGTGATCTTCGTGGCAAGTCTCAACACCAGCCTCAGACTTGGCCACTGGCCGGCTGGCCTGTGCCAGAGCTCACAAGGGTACAGGGTCCTCTAGGACGTGTGAACCTCAGAGGTGGCCCCGGGTACAGGCTCCAGACAACGACGCCGGTTTTAGCCAAAACTCAGAGCGCTGTGGAACGGGGCGCTGGGGCCCGGTGCCGCGCTGCTCCCGTGGGCCCGAGAGCGCAGCCAGCGGCCTCTGGCCCCCGTGCACTCCAAGGAGCTCCTGGCGTGGCGCCGCCTGATGCTTTGGATTGTGCGTCCGTGAGCGTGGCCCATGTGACACAGCTTTCCACAAGGTGAGAGGCGGGCCCTGGTGCCTCCCTTCCGTCACCTAGAACAATGGTTTGCTTTCTATACTGCAGAGCCGTGAGCTGTATGTGTGTAAATGAATAAAGTCATTTTTTTTTTTTTTTTTTAAATAAAAGGTTCTATGGATAACCCTTCTGAAACCCACTGGTCCAGATGGACCTCAACATACGAAGGTGATCAGGGTCCGTGTTGAAGTCTGCCACTGAGTCAGCCTGAGGACTCAGTGGGGCAAATCCACGTCCCACCCTGAGGTGTCAATACCCATAACATACATAACTGTGTCACACGCTCTCGGGTCTTTCCCCCAGTGTGTCCGGTCAAGGGACAGCCAGGCGCACATCAGTGACCCCAGTGCGGGTGGCTCCACACCTAAGTGCCGGCAGGTCTGTCACTCGCCACATCGCTTTGTTCCGACCAGGGACTTTACGTGAGGAGGGCCCTGGGACCCAAGGGATAGCAAATGGCCCGCCTCTGTTGTGCTCCTCTGCACTGCTGGAGCCCCTGCTGTGCTCGGGACCTGTTGCTGGGCAACAGGGCGATGAGGGACAGGCAGCCCAAGGCTGTGTGCCCAGTGCCACACACCGCGGTATGCTAGAGCGGAACTGTAAGGGTAGAAAGACGACCCCCGCGCTGACCCTGTGTACCCAGACAAGGGCCCCTGGGGTGCACAGCTAGCTCTTCTGGGGCTCGTTCTTCCCACACTGCCGGTGTCTTCAGCAGGTGCCTCTGTGACCCCAAACTCAGACTACCAGATGGGGGCCTCCGTGAGGACCCTATGGGAAAGGTTTGCTCCGGTCTTGATCTCAGAAAAGCCATGATGCCCTGAAGCAGTGAGCTTGCTTTGACTTTGAGGGAGCTGAGACTGTTGATCCTTTTGAGTGAGGCAGCATATAGAAAGAGAACGTCAACAAAGGACTTATCAGGACACATCAGAGCCCACATGGAAGAGCACCACTGATAGGTTTCGATTCTGGGCAACTTCATTCCCGGGTCTTCCGGAGGTGGTGGTGGGGGAGTGGTTTTCAAATACACTCAGGGAAGAGGACGGCACACGTCTGAGTGTGAGTGCCAGCACACGCTGCAAACAGGCCTAGGCCTGCGCATCACAACATGTGTCCCTAAGGACATATATGCAAGGTCCCTTTCTACTCAGGCCGGCGGAACAGTGTGTACACGAAGACACTGGAAACTTGGCCAAGTCAAATGTGGACACAAACACATCTGGGAGACGCCCATTCCTGGCCTCCTTACCCTCTCGTTTGGATCCTGGCACCTCTGACAGTCTGAGGCCGCCCTGGAGGCACGACCTCCGGGGGCGTGCCCGACAGTGTCCTCACTCTCCACCTTTCCTTCAGCTGCTTCCTGGCCAGCCAAAAAGGCTTTCCCAGCACACACCACTGCAAAGTCCTTACTGACAAAGGTCTTTTCACGGATTTTCTGGCCTCTTGTTCAGAAGGGACAAACTCAAACACACCCCTAGGACACAGAACGTGTTGGGACGGGGTGGCCTCACCGCAGCAAGGTCCCTGGGGGTGTAGCATAAGCTTTTCATCGCCCGTCATTTGCCGGCAGGGGCAACAGACCTAAATCATTAACAGTGAACTTACAGCAGCCTCAGTTCTACCTCAAATAGGAAGCAGAACCTTCAATAAGAAAACCGTAAACAAAAGAACAAGTTCTCCATTTGCTACACAGAGTGTTTTTCATGTTTATAGAAAAAGCCCAAGCTAGGTTTCCAATCAAACCTAAGCCCTATTTGGTTGTAAGTGATTTGAGACTGGAGAAGTATAAATAAAACCAAACTGACTAGGTTGAAAATACTTGCATTTTCTTAAAAGTCTTCCTTTGAAAGCAAATCCATTTCACCCGAGCCAGCGGGCTAAAGGGCCTCAGCCAGAGGCTGCTGGACTGCAGGTCCTGCCTGAGAGCGAGCCGCGGACACGGGAGCACCGGAGCCAGCACCCCGCGCCCTGAGCCCGGCAGCGTCCCCACCGCCAGGAGCGTGGTCCAAGAACTAATGAGATCAAGGCAGCTCAGCCAGAAGCACACTAGCAGTGAGCTGCCGTGGGACCGGGATGCCCGGCCTGGTGGCAGGCTGGGGACGTCCAGGCGAGGGCCCACTGTCCTTCCGTTTCTTTTCAAACACAATACGTCTCAGCTGGCACTTGGGTGCCCCCACATCCTTTCTTTAGACCACTGCCTTCAATGGCACCCAGAAAGAAGCTTTCTGTTTAGTTAAAAAAAAGTGCTGGTAAACACTCAGCCCCGATCCCTCCTTGTCCTCCTGCACTGCTGAGCCATTTTCCTGGCTATCCCCGCAACGTACTGGCTCCCTGAATACCTGGGTCTGGCCTGCCTCGGCCCCTTAACTCGGTGTGGGGCTTCTGAGAGATGAGAGACTGCTTGTAGTGGCTGCCGGGTCTCTGTCAGGTCCCCTCTGGACAGAGGGCAAGATGGGTTTCCCCAGAGAACGTGGAACGCACGGATCATTCGACATGCACGCTGACCAGGGCTGGTGGCCGCTCGCAAGCCCACACCCACCCGAGATGCTGCCTCTCTGGGCTTCCTGCCAAGCTAGGGGGACGCTCCCCTCGGCCAAGGATCAACCCTAGTAGGAGGTTACGTGGGGAACCTGACCCAGACCGGGTATGTGCTTGCTGGAGCAGACGGGTGTAAGGGACAATAAAACGAGGAGCTTGCTACGGAGGTGTGAGCAGTGCATGCAGGTAGCCGCCCCCTCGAGGGTGGCAGGTGGGTGGGTGGTGAGAGGTGGTTTACCTACACGACAGGGGACCTGGAAGCGGGCTCGTTTCAGTTATCCCATGAGACCTGCTCAATTACGGACTGTCAGAGGAAAGAGCAAAAAATAAGACACACACACAATAAATCCTAAACGCAACATGCTCGTTACTCCCACCCTCCGCCCATCCTTCCCGCGGAGAGGCGCGCAGTGGGGTGGGGACCACAGGCCAGGGAAGCGCTACGTGGTTGGGGCGAGAGGCGCAGGCAGCTTCCTCTCTTGAAGGCAGGTGGTGTCAGTATTAAACTAGGGACATGTGAAGGACAGTACAGACAGAGCGGGGCTGGCCCAGGAGGGCACTAGGGTGAAACCTGGCCTTGGATGTCTAAGGTCGAATTCACTCCAAGCCCTGCTTCTCGGAGGCCCGGCGCCTCAACTGTCACTGTCAGAAGAAGGTTCCACTTGGGCACGGAGGAGACACAGCGCTGGAAGCCACCAGAACTGGCCCAGCGGGTAGGCATGTGGAGCCAGATGAGCTCTGGGACCTGGGGACCCTCTGCTGTGGCCCATGGTGGGCTCTGAGTCCGGCTCCTCGCACTAATGTCCATGAGCCCCACACAGCTGGGGGCCAGACCCCAGACTCACCTTGGACCTGATGTTTCTGAGTTGCCGGCTGACACAGGATCTGTCTTTCTTTAAGAAGTCAGGGTTGCTTTTAGATTTCATTATATCTGAAAGAACAAACAGAATGGTTACTTTTGTTTTATAAAACCCCACAGAACCAGACTGAATGTTAAAAAACCTCCAAAGCTTATTTATCGCTGCACTTCTGACATTTCCTGAAACGGCTTTAGGAGCATATGAAGCCAGTAACCGTAAAACGCCCCAGATCCTTATGAGCAGACCAACCATGCCGCTGCATATGTAGCCACACCGACCCCCTGACAACCAGAATAAGACCGATCGTGACCCACCCCCAAGGAGACAGCCACCATTCTGCAGACTTCTTAAACATGGCTGCTTCAGCGACCGTTCACTGGGTCACACGGTACCCTGTGTCCTGCTGGGGGTGGGGCTTACATTTAGTACACTTAGGGATCTCTCCCTACATCCAGACACAATCTCCATGGACCTCTTCAGGAAGCCACAGTCCTCTATTTGCTGCAACTGCGAATATCCTTATCTGCACACCTCTGTGTTCTCATTCTTCAGAAGTTAAACTGGCAGGTCCCAGGATGTATGCATTCTCCCTCAGGCTCCTCCCCAGAAGCTGCCACTACCGTCACTTTGTCATCCCTCCTGAGCTAGTCTCCAGGTTGATTACAAGTAGTGTGCTACGGTGCCGCCAGACCGCCTCCAGCGGCAGCGCAACCGACCTACCTTCTGCCTTCTGCCCAGCGGCCAGCACTGCTGCGGCCACTAGTACTCAGCTGGCAGACAGACAACAGCTGAATTTTCGGGATGTTACTCTAAAACTGTCCTCCCCTCCCCCACCCCCATGGTCTCTTACAGACTTAACGGTCAAGCCCCAGGGTCAAGCAACTGGTGACAGCAGCTGTCACCAAGCTACCGGGTTCTTCAGGAAAACAGAAAAATGCAAAAATGCAACTTGTTACTACTGTGCAAATACACACCAACAGAGTGACTTCTCCTTCAAGGCCATCGGGACAACAGCCTCCCCCCGCCCCAGCACGCTGAGAGGACGATGCTTTCCCAGCCCTGGGGAGCCTGTGCAGGCCCAGGCGCCCTCCAGCCCCATGGCCCCCCCCTCTCTGATGACACTCAGGTCTAAATACAGAAAAGGCTCCTCTGCCTTCCCTCAGGTGCTGGTGAAGCTCTGAGCTCGCCCAGGCGCAGATGAGCTGTGAGTGTGGAGGACTCACCGTATCCGGACACGGGGGCGTTTTCAGGGGATTTTTCACCCAGAGCTTCCGTGGCTGCTTTCAGCTGCTCCTTCAACCTGCTGATGTCACAGTCGGCCTTCGCCCGCACGATGCTGAGCTCTGTGTAGATGTCCTTGTACTTGTCACTAGCATACTTCTTGTCCTTGGGGATAAAAGGGGCAGAAGCAAGTGGTGGTTAGGGCCAGGCTAGGTGGCCCGTCTTCCCGGGGCTGGGACGCCCTGCAGAGAGACTGAGGGATGCTGTTGGCAGTTATGGGGCAGGGCGATCCACATCTTCCAGAGGCAGGAACTCAATACAGAGTCAGACGGGCAGAGCTGACAGTCTGTCCCAATGCGGCAGGAGACTCTGCAGGAGCTCTGGCAAGCACGGGCATAGCCTTGACCCACCAAAGACCTCCCAGAAAACCTCTCCTCTGTCTTGAATTTCCTAGTGACTGAATGGCCCCCAGGGATTCCATCATCTCCTCTCTGATTCCAAGAAGGCCCTGGTGGAAATGGGCGCGCTTCACCAAACTCTCACTTTGCAGGATGGCATTTCTGTTTGGTCCCCCTATCCCTGCCGAAGCACACAGGAGGCACGGCGAGCAAGGACCCGCTTCAATGCTGGCGTTTTAAGAGAACTCAATTTTGAGGGGCACCTGGGTGGCTCCATCAGTTAAATGTCCGACTCTTGATCTCAGCTCAGGTTATGATCTCATGGTTCATGAGATCGAGCCCCGAGTCAGGCTCTGCACTGACAGTGTAGAGCCTGCCTGGAGTTCTCTTGCTCCCCCTCTCTCTGCCCCTCCTCCCCTGCTCATGCTCGCTTGCTCTCTCTCAGAATAAACTTAAAAAAAAGAAAACTCAATTTTGAAACCACAGTCCTCGTAAAAATGAAAAAGTACTCTAGAACAGCCTACAACTGGCATCCACCGATGGGACCTGTGTAAGGCCTGGAAGGATGTGTCCCCGCTCCACCCCGAGCCCACCTCCAGATCTGTCTCCCTTGGTAGGTGCCATTACCCGCAATGCCGTCTGTAGCTCATCCTTGAGAGAGCTGATCTCCTGTTTTAGGTACTGTATCTCTGACTCCTTGACCCGCAATAAGACCTAGAATAAGAGAGATTACACACTGACATCCAGCAGCAAAGGAACTTCCAGAGTCCTGAAAGCAAAGGTGAGGGCCGAGCAGAGAAGCCCTCTATGCCCTGGGAAACGGGTGTTGTCCTCCCTCCCCTCCTCCTCACCCACATGCAGCCAGAAATGCCAGTGAATATACTGAACCACTGCTAACAGTCTGCATCACATACAGAAAACAGAAAGGAGTCACTGCGATTCTTCCTGGACCCAAGAGTCGGTTTCTCGGCCCGAAGGGCCACGGTGAGCTCCTAGGACTGGGCCCAGGAAAGCATCTGCTGAAACTTTTCCCGAACTCACTCTGCCTCCCTTCACATCACTGAGCACATTTCCCTGACCAAGTCTTAACTGAATGGGGAGAAAGAACCTCAGTGCTTTTATAAAAAGACATACAAATCAATCATTCTGACTTAAAGTTGCAAGCAACTTTGGAGTTCACAAAGCTATTAAATATTTCACTCCACGTGGTTGGTATTTGTCGCGTGGCTGAAACAGTGTGGGGATGGGGTTAAAGGTCCCCGTGGCCTCACAAGGGATCCCCACTCCTGCCGCGGACCCCACACTCCCTGGCAGCCATCGTCTTTTGCTGCCCGGGGGTGATGTGGATCTTTCCATGTCCCCTCCTGCTGTCTCCAACTCTCATCCCTGCAATGATACCATACACTGAGGGCCACCTCTTGGTCCCCATTTGGGGCTCGTATGGTGCACAGCTGGGGAAGGGCCCTGAGTGGTACCTCTAACTCATAGGCATCCTTGCCCTGCGTGAGAGGTGAGCCGGCGGCCTCTCCGCCGGCATCCCCGGTCAGCAGCGTCCGCAACCGTGAGATCTCCGCAGCCAGGCGGTTGTTGAGCTCCTGTGGGGCGACAACACAGTATGCACAATGCCGAGCAGCCACTGCGGGGGCAGTGCTCACACAGCCCGACCAGGAGGGGGCAGTGGCTGTGTGAGCACAGAAGCCGCGGGCGGTGCTTGCACACACGTGCCATGGTGTTACAGATCTGGCATGTGAGCCTGTCCCCACCTGTGCTTTATATCCCTGCAAAAGCCGTTCACGTGGGCTCTGGAAGCAACTGTCGAACCGTGTATGCAGGATTCTGAAATAATCCTCACTACCTTTTTGTCACCATAAGCAGGATCCGTGCATTTCCTGGTTTGTCAAACTTGAGTTCCTGGAGGGTCAGGCCCTCTTGCTGTCCTCCCCACTCACTTTCTGAACCAGTTTTTCAAACTGGCAAGAGGACATGTTAGGCCACTGCAGTGACTAGGTGGAACCTGTGCCACCAGGGCACCCTCCTATGGGGTGACCGTGGCCCAGAGAGACCTCGAGCCTGGAGCTGGCCAGCACGTCTGTCCCCCCAGGCACTGGGTCCTAGCAGTGGGTCTGCAGACAGTAGTCCAATCAGGAACCAGAGTGGCTTTTATCAAACTATACCTACCTCGAGCCTTTCCGTTAGCCAGGACTTTAATGGTACCCCAACTTTCTGAAGAACAGGCAAATTTTAAAATAATCTAACAAAAAATCTAACAAAAAAAAAGTGCGAACAGTGTATGGACTCGACTGGGAGACGTTTAAATACAGGAGACCTGGAGCAGGTGCAATGACCCTCCCTCGCGGGCCCTGCTCAGCACAAAGCCAGAGACCTCAGGAGACATGGAGGCGATCAGAGATCCCAGAAGGGCTGGAGCCGAAATGACCCCCGAGGGAAACAGTGGGTTCACGTAGCAGTCTGTCTGAGCTCTGCCACCCGCAGCCCGTTTCCCTCAGTACACGGTGACGTAACACATGAGGGAGAAGCCTGCAGACGGGGCGGCCACTCTGTGGCTCAGGAGCTCAGGCCACCGCTCACAAGACCCGGCTCCCAACTGCAGCCCGGGCTCGCCTGGCCGCCGGCTCACCTGATTGTGGGCGTTGAGCTCCTGGTTCTCACGCTGGCACTGCCGCAGGGCCTGGCGCTCGGCCTCCAGTGCCTGGGCCAGGTGGGCATTCTCCAGACACTTCTGTGAGTACTGCTCGGACAGCACCTCCAGCTCCCGCTGCACGGACTGCAGCTCCTCCCTGCAGTGAGTGGGGAGAGGCCACCACTCACCTCTGTGCCCCCACCCCCCCCCCGGGGGCCCCACCCCTGCCAGGCTCTGCGAGTCCCCTTCGTGAAACTTGAGGAATGACGAGACACAACGCAAAGAGCTGAGCAGGGAGCGGGGCCCACTCATTCTGTGGCCTCAGCAAACTCGTTCCCGGCCACAACAGGGACAACTTAAAAAGTGCTGCAAGGTGCCCGCGTGCCTCAGTCGGTCAAGTGTCTGAGTCTTCATTTTGGCTCAGGTCATGATCTTGCGGTTTTTGTGAGACTGAACCCCATGCCGGGCTCTGTGCTGACAGCATGGAGCCTGCTTAGGACCCTCTCTCTCCTCCCCCCCTCCCCTGTTCACACATGCTCTCTCTCTCAGAATAAGCAAACAACAAAACCAGCACTGCAGGCTTACTGAAACTACACTGTAGCCTTACTTGCTCCTCTTTCAAGCAGCTTAGTAGTCCCACAGACAAAAGTCTCATGTCAGCAGAGAATTCACTCTTGTGATTTGTTTTCAACACTAACTTTGGAGATACTTTGTGTGTGACCCCCCTAGGCCCAGGCTTTATCCAGGCTCAGAAAATCACAGCCTGGTGATGCTGTCACTCACCCTGGACCCCTTGGAAAAGGGTGCTTCTCCCACTAGTGAAACCAAAGATGAGCCTGGGAAGCTGTGCAGCCACTCAGGAAGGGTGTCTCTGAGTCGCTTTCAGAGCCCTTGGGCCTTCGCCAATGCCCGCCCTTGGGACCCGTGTCTTTGTGGTTCTTATAAAGACACAGGAAAGCTGTCCCTCCTCATCTGAAGGGCTTTCCTCCAGCCCGGCCCACAAGGGCCACCTCCTGGGGGCAGGAAGCAGACTCACAGGTACTGCCGTCGTAGGGCCTCGATGTCCGAGTTGATGCTGCTGATCTGGGACCGCTGGCTCTTCTCCAACTCGCGCTCCATCTCCTCCCGGTGGGCATTCTTCATGGCTTCAATGGCTGCAGGCAAAGAAAGACATGGCCATCAGCGCGAGAGGCTCGGGGAGCAAGGTGGACAGGACAGCCCAATGTCTGTCCACTGTTATGTCGAAGGTCATGAGGGGTCAGTCTGGTTTCTCCCAAACTGATTCTCTGAGGCAGGCACGAGCCAAAGAATTCCCAGGGAACTCCCAACACAAAAGGGAAGCAGATACATTTTTTCCTTATGTGAGAAGAGAGCCAAGCTGATGAAAGAAGTATGAATCCTGAAATCAGGCATGAGTTTATAGAACAAGCAAGGGTTCAGGTGGGTATATGTTTCCTTAATAGTAAAATAAACCACCAGAGTAGGATACACAAAGTAGGTAACACAAAACTGATGGCATCGGCTTTGTGATAAGCTTTCCTGGCCAGGTAGACGCTGCAGCACCTTTGTGCTCTGATGTCCCCGGGCACTGGGGGCAGAGGTGGTCTTAAGCACCTAGAGGGCTGCGGACCGCCCCTCGGGTGTAGCTGCAGTGTTGGCTCTGGGCCCAGACAGCTGTCAAAGAAGGATTCTCTTGGATGACAAAGCTTGAGTCTCAGCCAAAAGGCCATGCAGTCAGCTCAGGAAGCCATGCCCTTGGGTTGCACTGGCCCCAGGCCCAGCCCCACCTGAGATGGTGGCTGCCGTCTCCTCAGCCAGCAGGCGGTCCTTCTCCTCCCGCAGCTTCTCCAGCTCCCGCTGGTGCTGCCTCTGCAGGTCCTCGATCTTCTTCTGGTGCGTTTCTTCCATCGCGGCAAACCCTCGCTCGCATGTAGCCTGTGAGAACAAAAGGGACGCCATGGATTTGTTTCTTTACCTCTGAGCCAGGTGTTCTGTTACCAATGAACCGGCAGCCTGGCCCCTCTAGGCTCCTTGTTCCCGACGGCAGGCTCCCCGCCACCCAGCATGCCACCGCGCACAGACCAGCGGAGCCATCTGAGGGCTGGGTGTAGGCTCCTACCGATGCTACTGTGCAATTCATGCTGTCAGCGTTCAGAAGAGAGTCTGTATCTATACGCTCTTATTCTTATTTTCTGAATGCTGTTTCTCTGTGGAAAGTTGGTACTGTGGGTGGGAAGATGCTGCAATGGAATTGAAAATAGCAGATTCTGGACCTTCACAGAATTGCTGGTGGGCAGGACTGACCACAGGGAGGGAGAAGAGTCTGGCTGTATCTGGTCTGAGTTATACGGCACCAAACAGGGCATTTCATAAACAGTCACAAACAGGGATGAGTCTGCAAGCTGCAGAGAGCTAGGACCATCCTGTGAATGATGGGGAGGCCAGGGGTGGGGCACGGAGCCACAGAGTCTGGGCCTGCCACTAACCAGCTGGCCACCCTAACCTGGTGTCCACTGAGGGACTCCGGTTAGGCCACATGATCTCTTTTCTTCCAGCCTGCATCTTCCTTCTGCCTCTTTCAAGGAGTAGACAGAGGGGCACTGATTCACTAACTGAAACGAGGGACATAACAGAACCGCTTTCCAAACTTGTCCAGTTCATGTCTTGTTACAACGCAGGCTGTTTTATTACCTGGACATGGGTTTGGGGGAAGGACACAGGTACACCCTAAGATGGGATCAAACCATCCCACACACCCACACAGAGAACCCCGGACACGGCTAATCAGAGTCCTATTATCAGAGGGCCAGGCGAACGTGCCACACAGCTGTGAGGGGGTGGTATGTGCAGCTGTTTTGTGCACAGAGGCACACTCTGTCTCAATCCCTTGGAAGATCTCATTGAGAGTAGGGATCACGCCTTTCAGTGATTTAAAAAACAACAACAGGGGCACCTGGGCGCTCAGTCGGTTAAGTATCTGACTTCGGCTCAGCTCATGATCTCATGGTTCATGGATTCGAGCCCCATGTTGGGCTCTGTGCTGACAGCTAGCTCAGAGCCTGGAGCCTGCTTCAGAGTCTGTATCTCCCTCTCTCTCTGGCCCTCCCCTGCTCATGCTGTCTCTCTCTCTCGCAGAAATGATAAAAACATTAAAAAAATATTTAAAAACAGCAGAAAAACATGGCCATGTTAGATTCTAAATGCAAAATATGGTGGGGCTCCTCCCTTCCAACCTATATTCTTGCACATGGATTCAAGAAAGTATACGAAGAAACCAAATCAGCACACTTGGGTGTCCCTGTCTGAGCCTCCACAGTAATTGAGAGGCCTGAGATTCTCTAGTCAATATTTTTGAACTCGTGGTCACAGTCTAGACTTTACCACCACAGACTGGCTGCACTAGGCAAATGGTCTTCACTGCTGTCCACCATTACCTAGCCATTGCCTCTCCCAGGTGGCCCCATCGGGAAGCTGGGCCTCCGCCCACACCACAGGACAGCCAGAGGAAGTCTAGCTCTGTGGCCCCTCGCCCTCTCCAAGCCCCTCATCTTTCCTGCGGCATGCATTGGTTCACAGCAAACACACAGCTAGTAGGTCTTTCAGGGTTTAGTTTGACTTGAGTGCTTTACAATATTTAAAGTTAAGGGTGAAGACTCTTACTAATAGAAACACGGAATTATCTTTAAAGATCAGCTGCTTCCTTGGACAGCATACGTGTTAAAAAATGATTCACAGGGGCGCCTGGGTGGCTTAGTCGGTTAAGCGTCCGACTTTCGCTTAGGTCGTGATCCCGCGGTTCGTGGGTTCGAGCCCCGTGTCGGGCTCTGTGCTGACTGCCAGCTCAGAGCCTGGAGCCTGTTTCAGTCTGGGACTCCCTCTCTCTGACCCTCCCCTGCTCACGCTGTCTCTCTCTCTCTCCTAGAAATAAATAAAACATTAAAAAAAATGATTCACAAATTTTAGTTTTTAAGCCAGTGATCCCTGGGATCAATAAAAGTCCCTCGATGACTACCGTGCAGAGTTGTGAGGGAAGGTGTCAGCCTGCAGCTGTCAGGAGAGGGGCCGTCAGGCCGAGACACTGGTCTCCCTGACCCAGGCAAAACTCTGCACAAAGTAACAGCCATTAGCCAGGCCCCCTCAACGGTTCTACTTGGTTGTACTTTCTGGGTCTCTAGAGGGTCACTGAGAACACGGTGGACGTGCTGGATGCTCGCAGGCACACGACAGGATACGCAGCACGAGTGGTGTCCGAGTCCCCAGAGACATGCTACCAGAGGACCACCAACCAGATTTCTTGCTAACTAATGGGAGGCTGTCATGAGTTGGGGCCTTATCGGTGTCCAGCTGACTGACACGGGGCTGAGAGTGCCTCACTGCGCAGGGGCTCTGTGGGAACCAGGGGGAGCAGCTCACTGTGGTGTGGAGGGAGCACGTGGCTCCCGGGGAACACAGAGTGTGAATGCGCCCTCGCGCGGGGCCACACAGGCCTGCTGGGCCTCAGGGGAAGGAGCGGAGGCCTCTCCCGGGAGGGCGCTAAGGAACAGTGTCTGTGCAAACTACTGTGATGGGTGGACCTGGCCCATCCGAATGCTGTGCTCGCACGCACTGACCCCCACAGGGGGCGTCATTTGTACACTTTTGGAAAGCAGCCCTTCAAGCTTTCTCATGGTTCATAACAGTTTTCAAAAGGTTCAGGCCTGGAAAAAGAACAATGAAAATGGCCTCCGGGCCACCGGAGAGCTTGCTGACGACCACTCGTGCCCGTCTGTGGCGCGGGGGCTGCGTCGTCACACAGAGGTGAGGACCACGCCGTGGACTCGCGGCATGCCGCTGTCCTGCTCCCGGAGCCATGGGCCCGAGCGGCCCGCTGGGGCGCAGCTCTGCGCGTGCGCAGCAGGAGCCCACAGCCCCGGAGCCCGCTCTGCGCCGGCGGGCCAGGCCGCCATCCTACCCAGGGCCTGACTGGGGACGGATGGGTTTTGCGGAGCCTGGGTGTTTAACTGTGCACAGCCCCTAGGGGCGGTGTGAAGCTCAGGACAGCGCCGAAGCGGACGGAAAGCTCTGGGGAGGCGCGGGCAGGTATCTCTAGCTTTGAAGGTAGCAGGCAAGAACCTGGATGGGCCCACAGGCCCAAGGCCCCAGGGAGCCTGGGAAGGTCACCTCTCCACGACAGGGCCTGGCTATCCTGCTGAATGAGGCAGAGCGTGAAATGGGGAGGGCCGTGGGGGACAGCTGCTGGGCAGGGTCATGTCTCTCAGCCCCTGGAAAAGGAACACCAGTGGCTGAGAGGCGTGCTCTGTAGAGAAGCCCTTCTTTCAGAGTGCCCCTTAAATGCCAGTTCCCCACAGGGAGTTGGGAGGGGAGAGTGAACCTAGACACCATCTCTTGGGAACCTCAACTCTGCTCTCAGGATAGTTAGAAGGAGGCAGCCCTCTAAGGGAGCCTCTGGCCCGTTTCTCCTGGGTGCTTCTCCTAGGTTTGCACAGGTCCCGGCCTGCAGTGGGTTCCTCGGGGGCAGAAGAGAGGGTGAGGCTGGGACAGGGACAATAAAGGCTCCCCCTGCTGGGGCCCACAGAGGGACAAAGCAGAGAGGTTATGGGGAGACCACACTCCCTCTCCCGTGGTGCTCCTGTTGTCCTTCCGTGAGGCCTCCTTGCGGGGGGGTGGGGGGGTGGGGAGGTGGACGTTGAGCAGGAGGCCAGACCCCTGCCCAGGCCCTGCTCTGAGACCACACCACTCCAGCGAGGAGTCAGGGGAGGGACAACTCGAGTCTGTGTGTTCAGTAACTCAGAGCTAAGAGCTGTGTCTTGGCTGCACCCCGAGAGCCTGTGAGGCAGACGCTGCCCCCCCGACAAGCAGCATAATGCCCGCCCCTCAACCGCCTTGCAAAGGAAGTGGTGCTTCAGAACCTTAAGGTTCTCAAAGTCTTTCTGGTACTTCTCGCGCAGCGTGGCTGCATTGCCCTCCAGGTCCTTGTGCTCTAGCTCCTCCCGCATGATGTCCATCTGGGCCTCGAGCTCCTGGATGCGCTCTCTCAGCCCCGTCATGGAGTCAGCCTCTGGCCTGCCGCTCTGCGGGACATCCTGGGGCTGGTCCGTGGGCCAGCTGGAGGAGAGAGGCTGCTGAGGGCCGCCCGGGGGGCCGGGGGCCGGCAGAGCTTCAGGGGGCCGCCCCTGGCAGCGGTGCAGGGCCTCCTGCAGGCACCGCAGGCTCTGGGCGTAGTGCTCCTGCAGGGTCCTCAGCTCCTCCTCGTGGATGGTCTGCAGCTCTCTGATCTTGAGCTGGAACTTGTCCTCCAAGCTCTGCATCTGCTCCACGTGGTGCCTCTCCATGTCCCGCCGGTCCCTGACCGAGGCGTCCAGCTGGCTCAGGACCCTGCTGTGCTCGGCCTGCAGCGTGTCCCCTGCCCGGTTCAACTGCTCCACCACACACCGGATCTCTTCCTCATACCTCCCTTGCAGGGCGCACATGTTCTCACTGTGTTTGCTTTCTACTTCTTCCAGACACCTCTGCTGATGGTCCAGCTGGGTGACCTTGGCCTTCAGCTCTGCGTTCTCCCTTTCAATGATGGCAATCACTTCCAGGTACTCGCTCTTCTGCTTCCGGAGAAGCTCCTCGTACTCCTCCCTCAGGGCCCCGACCGCTTGCTCGTGCTCCGGACAGGAGGCGCCCCTGCCCTGCCAGGACGCCTTATAGCACTGGAGCTCCTTTTCATACTCCAGCCGGATTCTGCAGGCTGCATAACACACCTGAGCCTGAATGATTGCATCCTGAACTAACAATGAAGAATACTGACCGAGGCCTCCCAGATAAGTGCTACAGGACAGATTCTGGGATGCCTGGAGAAGCTTCTGACAATCTCTTACTGACTCTACCGGGGGAAGCGAGGTCAGAGCAGCAGATATCTCTCCTAAGAGGCTGGCCTTATCTTTAAGCTGCAGGGCGAGTTCCTCCTGAATAGCAACAAGGGCCCCGGAGCTCTGGTTGGACAGGCAGGAGGGCTCCTGGGAGCCGGCTGCTGCTTGATGACTCAGTACTTCTCCTAAGGGGCTCAAGTCCCAGGATGCCTGCATGCTGTCCTCCACACCTGCTGGAAGCTTGAGAGCTTCAGTGACCTGCTGCATCACTCTCTCAAAGTCAGGGGTTCGGTAGGCCCCCAGGATGTCCCCTAGCACGCGCTTGTGCTGCTGCAGTGCCATCTGCGTCCCCTGGAGGGTCTCCTGGATGCTCTGCAACCGGCGGTGGAACGACTCCCTCACCGACTGCAGGGCGAAGCTGAGCTCTGCCCGGACCCACGTGGCATCTGCCAGGGCGGGGACCAGGGCCTGTGGAACGCTCTGCTGCCCACCTCCTGACGCACCAGCCACCTCGCCTCCTCCCAGTGCGCCCAGGTGCTTACTCAGGGACTCCACCTGGCTCCAGAACTCGCCATCCACCAGCACCTTCTTAGCCCAGGCGTCTGCTGGGGCTGCAGGACCGACGGCAGCACTTTCGGGTTCCGGGGGCAACTTTCCAGACTGAGAAATCTCGTGCAGAACACGCGAGATATCCGACGTTGTGTTCTGTAAAGAGTCTGCTATCTGGTTTATCAGTGAGGCTTCCAGAGCTATCTGATCAGAAAGGAGTTTCAGCTGTTCCTGCTCACTCAGCTCAGGCCGGACCAATGGCTGTGAAGTCATTTTCCCCACCTCCAGGAAACCCCCTTCCTCTGGCAGGGCCCGGGCCCCAAGGTCTGCAGGAGCTGCCCAGTGGCTCAGGGGCCCAACACTGCTGCCTGGCGCGCCCTCCGCGCCGACCGGGGGGCAGGATGCCGCGTCCCGTGCTTCCTCCTGGCCGGCCGCCGGCAGGGACCGCAACTGTTCTCGGCAGCTTTCTAAGCAGGCCAGAGCCTGACTATTCTTCACCTGGAAGTCGCCAAGCTCCCCGACGTGATTTTCGACCAGCTTCGCCCTCACCTGTCTCTCCTGCTCTAGCTGGGAGGCCAGGGCCCCGACCTGGAGCAGGCTGGCATGGAGCTGCTCACGGAGCCGCGCCTCGGTGCCGGCCCACTGCTGGTGCAACGCGAGCAGGGCCTCCTGGCTCTGGCCCTGCTGGCTCTCCAGCTTCACCGTCACATCTTTGAGCTTCTCCTCCGTGATGTACAGCTTGGTCTCCAGGGAGTGTATTATGGAGAGATAGGTGTCGGAGTCGCTGGCTGCAGGAAGGGAGCTGGGGGTGGCCTCTGACGACATGCTCTCTTCTGAGGGGGACCGGTCCTGGCTGGTGTCGGAGGACGTGCTGCTGGTCCAGGTCTTCTCGGACCCATCTGGGTGCGTGTATTTTTGGCACTGAATCGTGGAGAACCGGATTCTTTGCCTTTTAACGCCAGGTACTCCCTGGTCAGATTTTGCTGTGCTCTGAGGGGGGCCCTCCCTGTCAGGAGCCTCTGACTTCAGGGACCCCACACTCTCTTCTCCCCTGGGGCTGTCATCACCACGCTCCTCCCCTGGGGCAGCCCCCAGATCCTCATCCTCGAGCCTTGGTGGTGGGAAGCCTGGAGGCATGATGGCGGCTTGGGGCTGTGGGCCCGACAGCACGACGCCATCCTCTGCCTCTTCCGGAAAGCTCCGTGGCTCCTCCGCGTCTTCTGAAGACTCCTTCACAAACTTCCTTAAGATCTCTTCCTTGGCCTGGAGCTTCATCTCTGTTTCCTCCAAGCTGCTCCCCAAGGCGACCATTTTAACCAACGCCTCATTGAGGTCCTGATCTTTCTTTTCTAGAACCTTCTCATGCATCTCCTTGATGTGCTTCAGCTCTTCCTCCTTTTCTTTCAGCAGAGTATGCATGCTCTGCAGCTGGCTGGCCACCCTCCTGTAGGAGTGCTCCAGGCTCTGGCAGTCGGCCTCCCTTCCCCTCAACTTCTCCCGAAGCTCGGTGACGTCCCCGTCAGACAGGGCGATGCGATCCATCAGCTCCTGGAAGCGTTGCCTGATCAGGTCCCGTTCATCCCTGAGGCTCTGGACGTGCTCAGCCAGCTTCTGGATGCTGGCCTCCTTCATCTCCAACCGCTCCTCCAGCTGGTGCACCACCTCGCTGCCCTCGAACTTGGCACTCAGCTTCTCCTTCTGGAGGACCTCCATCTGCTGCTCGTGGTCCTGGAGCTGGTCCTCGTAGGCACGGGCCTTGTCCTCCACCTCCTTCAGGTTCTGCAGCAGTGCCTGCTTCTCCTTCTCGCAGCTCTCCAGCAGGGCCTCGTAGTTCCTCTGCAGCTTCTCCTCCATCAGCCTCTGGGCCTGCTCGCTGGCGCTAAGCTGCTGGCTGAGGTCGGTGATACGCTCCTGCAGCCTCTGTGCCTCCCTCTGCCGGTCCCTCTGCAGTGCCTGCTGCAGCTCCAGGTCGCGCAGCTCCTGCGTCTTCTCCAGCAGCAGGGCCTCGGCGCTCTTGAGCTTCTGCTCGCTGGCCTGCAGCTGACCACTCAGCGCGGCCTCGCTGTGCTGCCGCTCCTCCAGCTGCTCACGAACCTTATCTTTCTCCAGCTTCAGGTCGCCCTTGAGCTTGGCGAGCGCCTGCTCCTTGATGGCGAGCTCGGCGGCGGCATTGCTGAGCCTCGCCTGTAGGCTCCGGATCTCGGCCTCGTGGTGCCGGATCGCGTCCTTGGCCTCCCCGTAGCTGCGCTTCAGGGACTGGATCTGCTGCGTGACCAGCTCCTGGCGCTGGCACTGGGCCTCCAGCTCGCTTTGCAGGTCCTGGTTGACTCTATGGAGCCTCTCCCAGGCACCGGACGGGGAGGCGGCCACTTCAGTCTTAAAAAAACCGATTAAACACTGGTTAGTAACACTCGGGCCTCCCCGTTCTGAGTGTCACACCTCTGGCCAGGGTCAACCACAGAAAGCTCCTTGGTGGGTCTGCCTTTTATCCTTGGCATGATTTTTTTTTTTTTTTTTCAATTAAAAAACAAATCCGACAAACCATCTTAATTTTCTGGCAAGCAGCTGCTTCTAGGTAAACAGAAAACATGGACAGGAACATCACACAGCTCTAACCAAGCGGCTTCTAGGAGAACTAAACCAAACAAAACTGAATAATGGAGCACACTGATGGGCGAAACGAAGACCAGACCGGAGGACATGAGATCGCTGGGAAGGACAAGGGAAGGAGCCGAGCGGCGGGATCTGTTTGTTTGTTTTGCAAAACAAAGGGTGCGGGGCTCTAGGCAACAAACCCTAAGAAAGCCAGGACTCGGGGTGCGGGTGGCGATGCCACTTCCTTCTAGGACGGGGAGAGAAGGAAGGGAGGCAATTGACCGGGGAGCCAGTGAGGTGACAGCTGAAACATGTTCCTTTGGGAAGCGGAGCCCGTCCTCTACAGTAACAGGAAGAACTAATCTCTACCTGCAAGAAGACAAAACGAGGGGGGAAAACGGAAACCATGGAGTAAAACATGATCATCAACGAAACAAACAAACTTTTGTGGAATTCAAAATAAGAAAGTGAAGCATGCACGAAACAAAACACAAATGAAACAAGACTCCCCAAACTGAAGGTCATGCAGGATAGACAGAATTAATGCAGGGGAAAAAAACGAGAACATGAACAAGAGTGAGAAGAGCCCAGCCTAAGAATTTGGCCTGCCTGTGGCTCGCTCTAGGTCTGGTCTGCTGGTGGGGAAGCCACAGATGTGACACTCAGTTACGTTACGGTTACACTCCACGATGTCCGACCGTGCAAGCAAGCTCCTCCCTCCCCAGCACCATTAGCGCAGCGCCCACCCCACGGGGCTGACTACTCCTCACCCTTACCCCCAGAGGCCCCGTGCTCTTTCGAATGACTTGGTTATAAGCATTTTCAAAGTGCAAAGGAGGTTAAAAGTCATGGCTGTTAGCTCTAGCAGGGAGGCATGAAGGGACTGGCTCTGGGCCTTTGGCGCAGGCTCATGCAATCATCCAGGTTAGGCACGGAGGCACGTTCCCAGGTTAGCAATGTGCAAAATCTGCTGCCAGCATCTTTGGCACCTGATGTGAAGTGAATTCATGGTCTAAAAAGATGCTCTCCAAACCCAGAGGGTCTGCACGAAATGACCCAGGAAGCCCTGGAGTGACATTTACAGGAAAGAGGGACAGCCACCATCACCAGTGCCTGCTGTCCGAGGGTCTGACCTGGGCATGGCTGTAACTGGGCTTGAAGGGGCTGGGGAGGGAATTCCAGGGCACATGAGACACCCAGGGCCATGGTCACGGCTGGGGGAGAAAGTGAAGGCAAGGTGAACATGCAACAAGGAATGGCATGGAGACGGGTAAACTCTGCCCAGAGGTCCACGTGCTGCTTGGGAGGGCTTGGACCAAGGCGACCAGGGTGCTGCAGTCCCGAAGTGTCAACACAGCTACTCATCACAGAGACTCTGGGTCACTGAGAGCTGAAAGGCCCTTGGGGTTAAGTTCTAAGTCTACACGGGCAAGGAGGCTGAGGTTGCAGGGAGGGGCACCGGCTTCTACTGGTCAATGGCAGGACCCTGACTGGAATGCTGCGTCCTCAGCCTTGACCGAGAGCTCAGGCCCTCCATTCCATCGCCCACTTTGCATTTCCCCAGCGCTCCTTCCTCAACCACCTCTCCCTACCAGTATGTCAGCAAGATGGGGCAGGAGTGTGTAGTTTTGCAGCTCAGAACTTGGAACAGGGATGCTGGGGTGCTGGCCCGCCCTGTCCTGGTGCCCTCCTGCCTGGCGAGACACCGGGGCAGTGCCCGCTGCTTGCGGGCCAGCACGTAGGCACAGAGCTCTCCGGTGGAGGGGCGTGGGTTTGGATCTCAGCTCACAACTCGGGCTGCTGCCCTTCTCGTCAGCCTCCCTATTAAGCTGCAGGGGGAGTCCGCTCATGGCTGGGCGACCCCACTTTCCCTTGACACTTCGGCCTGGGCAGAAAATAAGAAGTGGGGCCACTAGGCTAGCGCTAATAGGGCCCAGGTTGCCCTGCAGCTGTGGGACACACAAGGTCATGGACAGGGAACCAATTTTAGCTCAGCCACGGACAGTGATAAGGAGGCACTGGGCTGGCTGTTACTCATTTTCTTCATTTGGCACAATGGGCCTAACACCGCCATTATGAAAGCAAATGACATCAACAAATACATGACGTTTATAATAAACACATAATTAGGTACTCTGAGAGCCAACAAGAAAGACAATCAGGGTGATTTCATTAACAAACAAAAAACCCCCTTAGATACAGAGGTTTCAGGCACGTTCTGCAAAATGTCATGCTAGGGTGAAAAACGAAGTGGACCCACAACGCGGAACCCTGACGCCGCAGCAGAGGAGCGGAGGCATGGCGCTGGGGAGAGTCTGCCCCCCGCTCAGCCAGGTTTTGCACATTCCTAGCCTGCCTGGGTCTGTCCCACTGAAGCCCCAGTGAACGAGGGCTGCAGCAGCCCATCAGCCCTACCTGCAGCACGTAGCCCTCCCGGGCGCTCTGTTCCCGGCCCAGAGCCACCCTCAGCTGGTCCTGGAGGAGCCGGTTCTGCTCCAGAAGGTCCGAGGCCTCTTTCTGGCTCTGCTCCAACTGTGAACAAGAAGACACACATTTTTAAGCAAAGGGAGAGCAATGAATAGAAGCAGCACAGCACAGGCCACAGTGGTGTTTCTTCCCCCCACCCTTTTTTTTGTTGTTTATTTTTGAGAGAGACAGAGAGATGGGCAGAGAAAGAAGGAGACACAGATTCTGAAGCAGGCTCCAGGTTCTGTGCTGACAGCACTGAGCCCGACGCAGGGCTCCACTCTTCAAACCATGAGATCATGAACTGAGCCGAAGTCAGATGCTTAACTGACTGAGCCATCTGGGCGCCCCCACGGTGGCATTTCTGACTCTAGCTGGGCTGGAGCACACTGGGACTCCCTGGCTGGCCTTCCACATGGCCACGGTTCAGTGCACATGCTGATCTGGTCTTTACCTGCAGCACCTGGAACCAGCTTAAGCCATAGATAACAGCAGGCTTTCCCCTGGGCACCCACGATTCCCATATCCCCATAAGGATGTGATGCGCAGACTCCACCGGCAAACAAGGGCTTTGTGTCTATCATCAGAAGACCATCCTGGGTGCCTGGGTGGTTCAGTCAGCTGAACGTCCTGACACTAGCTCAGATCATGATTTCATGGTTTTTGAGTTTGAGCCTCGAGTCAGACTTGCTGCTGTCAGCGCAGAGCCTGCTTTGGATCTTCTGTCCCGCCCTCTCTCTGCCCCTCCCCACCACCCCCTTCTCAAAAATAAATAAAGAAGAAGAAGAGGAAGAAGAAGGCCACCCTGCTGGGCCCTTCCAATTTCCTCAGTGTGGTCAAATAGGCCATGGCTGCCCTGGGGCAGCCCTCACTCCAGGTTTCCACCGAAATAACTCCTTTTGGCCAGTTTTATATAATGGATTCCAAACAAAATTCTGTTTGCAGAAAGGGCTCCTAAAGGGTTCCACAAGATGTACAAAGCGAGCAAGCTACGTCACACTCTCCTTGCTTTCAATGGCTTTGAATTCAGTCATTCCTCCATCCACATGTTCCCCGAACACTCCCGAACCTCCTGGATGCCGGGTTGTGTGGGCATGCCCATCCCCCCCTCCCCCCCACCCTGGGAGCGGCTGTGGTGTGCAAGATCTGTGTGTGCAGTTGACGAGCCGGGCGCCGCCAGGCTGTGCTGTGGGAGGTACAGAGTCCTGGTTATCCGACTCTGCTGTCCACAATAGATTCATGGTCCAACGTGTCGCCTGCAGGCTAGAAGGCCCATTTTGACAGTTTATAGCAAAGGAGTTTGAAATGTTTTTTTATTGCATCTTGACTTTGTTATTACATTAATGTGTGTAGAAAATGGAAAAAAATTTAAAGTACTGATGTTAGTGATGAAGGTCAGCCTTGTGAACTTAACAAGAAAAAGATAAGAAGTGAAGGCAGGCCAAAGTGACAACTCTTCCACTTCAGGTAGCTACTTACGTAAAAGAACACATTTAAAACCTACTGATGAGTGCTCCTAAAAGACAAGCCAATGTTCTACCTTCCTGTCCAGGAAACTCCATGTTCACACTTAGAAATCCACTACAGAGTTCCCCAGATTGGATTCCTGGATACACCTTCATGTACCAGTACACCGTTACAAATGCAGGGACCAGCTCATCTCGGCATCCCAGGGGGTCGCCTTCATGGCGGCGACAGGGCAGCAACCCTGTCACCTGGGGCCTCTGTTTCACATCTCAAATGTATCTGACTATCTAGAATTCAGCCTCCGCCTCCTGCTACCGCCCCACTCCCCCCTCAGTTCCCAGCAACGGTTACCAGGCTGCTGCGAAAGCCTCAGGGCTCATCTTGTCTCTGCCTCCAGCTCTGGCCCCTTCAAACCAGTGCCGCCTACCAAATGTGGAAGCCTGACTCTGCTCACACCCTTCTCCTGCCTCAAACAGGGTAGAAGGACCCACCTGGGCCCTGGGTCCCATTAGCCTAGTCTCTGCCTACCTCTGATGTGGTGTCCCCACCACATGGCTAATGCCTTTTCCTTCTGGAAAAGCCTGGCATCCCCTCCCTGCCACCTTGCACGATCTGGCACTCTCCTGGACCTCTCAGTGCCTGCAGTGTACTCTAAGAACCTGTCTGTCCATGTGCCTGTCTCCTCGAGTGGTCTGCAAGTCCCTAAGAGGAGGGACCAAATGTCCCTCAGTATTATGTGGCTGAACCACTCAGGCCACCACCAGCCACCACAGTGGGTGTTGGGGAAGGCTGCTGCAGGGAACCTGGCCACCTGTGTGCCCATTACCTCCTTCTCCAGCAGAGAGGTCAGCTCGTGAGTGGAGAGCCGGTCACTTCCATCCTCGGAGGAAGACAGATGCAGAGGGGCAATGGGCACCTGCTTTTCTTCCCGGAGAGGGGTGGTCTCCACCTGGTGCCATCGCTGTTCGATTTCTACATGGACATTCTGGGTCTTGAGGTCGGCGGTCACAGGCAGCCCCGGGCTCCGGTCGACCTCCATCCGCAGGGCCGTGTCATCAGTGCCCGTCCCGTCCACGGTATCGAGCATCCCGAAGCGCTTGCGGCGTTCTTCCCGCCGCCGTGCACGCTCCCGCTCCAGCTCCCCAGCCTCAGCCTCGGGGTGGCTGTCGGAAGCCCCAGCGGCACTGGCCCTCTCCTGGGCCAGGGCCTGCTGGATAGGGCGGAACTCGGCCCAGTCAAAGGTCTTAGAGCGGCCTTCCCGCCTCCGCTCGCGAGCCCGGCTCCTCTTCTGCTCGGGGTCTGGCTCTCCACGCTCCCCCTCCGGTTGCTCACTAGGCCTTGGGCAGGTCTCAAAGGAGGAGCCGCTCCGGTTCTTCCCCTCTGGCAACGAGCTGCGGGCGAGGGGTGGAGAGCCTGTCAGGTGCGCTCCAGGGGACAGCCACCCACCCAAGTGGGGTCCCCAGCTCTACCACGTTCTCCTTCTGTGCAGTCAGGGTCCCCCAAGAGAGGGGCGGAAAGAATACTTTGCCTTTACCTATGTCCCTTCCGTGGGACCTCAGAGGTCCTGTGATACAGGAGATGCTGCAGGGGAGCGTCATGATGGACACCCCATCAGGCTGTACTAGGCAGGGGTGACAGAATGAACAAGACCAACCACTTTTCTCAAAAGGCTCAAGGGTTTTTAAACAAGCAAGTAAACAAACCAAATAGTCTGTATTGTAGGAAAACCACTCCGGGGGCCGGTGTGACAGGTGGACCAGAGTGAAAGGCCTGAGACCACACTGTGGCCAAGTGAGAGAGATGGCCCAGGTGGCACCCACGTGCCCGCACCATGCAGTGGCCTACCCGGTGCAGGAAGGGAGCGGGGAGCAGGATTCAAGGGCATCTCTGCTTGCCAAGTAAGGAATCCATGCCCTTCTCTAATATGCCCCGAAGCAAAGATGTCTAGAGAGGATGCCACCTCAGCAGGGGTGAGGTGGAAACATCAGATGCAGCAGTTAGAGGCCCCCAGCTTGAACAGCGTAGCCTCTGGTCCTGCCCAAGCTATTAGAACAGAGCTGAAAGCCACTCAGGGCCCTGAGGGCCAGCGAGGGCAGGGGTGGGGTGAGTGCTCCAGGGGGCACCTGTCTCTAAAGGGGGTCAGAGAGAAGGGGGCCTGGGAGAGAGGCAGCTCAGGGAAGGGGAATATGGTCATCAGCAAGCCCTGGCCATCTGTCCCACGTGCTTCCGGGTGGTGGGGCCTGCAAGTTCCTGTCAGACCACACGTTCGTTTGAACAGAAGTTCTCCAGGAAGGACCTTCCAATGCCACTGAACGGAGAGCCGACCCAGGCTTAACAGCTGTGCAGGGTGTCATGCCTGCATGGAGAGCTGGGAGCCGTGGCACCATGAGAGGAAGCCCTTCGGCTCCCAGGGAGGACGCCCCTGTAACTCTCTGCCACACGTACAGGGGGACTACAGTGCAAGGCTCAAGCCTGCGCCTCTGATGTTTCGATCTGTTTCTAGTACCTTCTTGGGACCTGGCCCCAAGTGCTAAAAAAAAATGCCAAATTTTTCTCACTGTAAAAGATGATATAAAACAAGCACAAAGGCTGAAAACTGGGGGAGTGAGGAGCCTCTAAGTTTGAGATATGCTAATTCTCAAGTACATTCTAGTCAGGAAGACCACCACTAAGTCAACCTTCTCGCAGAAATAAAAGCCTGGTCCCTGTGGGCCTGCAGTCCCTGCACAGAGCCAGTGTCTGACTGTGGCAGGGAACTGTGCTTCTCAGGAGAGGTGTGTGCACGCGTGTGTGCTCAACTGTGTCACTTCACAGTCATTCTGAGGCCGGAGCCACAGGCCTGCCCTGTGACATCCCAAAGCTGACTTCTCCCAGCCAGGACCCCGATCCCCACATTGGGCCAGGCCCTGGTTGAGCAGTCAACGCCGGCTGGGACATGGAGGGCAGGGGACTGCTGGGGCCAGGACGGGACCTCGGGTCCTCTCGTGTCCACTCCTCATGTCACTGTGGCAGCGGCCTTGCCAGAGAACCCTGACTTGCCTTCCTTGCTTTGCTATGGGGACATCCTCAAGGTGCTCAGGTTGCTGACCCTGTAAAGTTTAGGTCTCTGCTCCTGGCTGGGGGGGAGCCAGGGGGCGGCCAGAGGTGAGGACGAGAGTGCCCCCTTCATCTCTGCAGGCAGGGGGTGGCACCCCACTAACAAATAAGCCAGCTCTCCTAATAGGACACTTGAGAGCTTGTCTAGCCACCGATGCCTGGTCCTACTGACAGGAGCAACCAAATAGTCTGTTCGTTTAGTAAATGAAGGAACAAACAAACAGTGCCAATAAACACAAGAGAGAATGAGCTCCTCCTCCCTTCTGTTCAAAGAGGTACAGTGTCACTAGGGAAGAGGCAAGGCCATGACAAAGACCTGGTGTGGCCACAGCTGCCCCAGGCCTCTGAGGGACACACGGCCCAGGGGCAGCCAACAACACAACAAAGACACTTGAAGAGTCGTTCAAACTGCATGTCCTGAGAAGTGGGAACAAGAGGGTCTCAGGACAGGAGGGGGCTCTGAAGTCTTCTGGTGAGAACAGCTGAGTTCTGGGCATCATGGAACCAGCCCCACAAACCAGAATCTTCCTTTTAAAACGCAAACAGGTATCTAACCCTCAGAGCAGAGGAGGAAGGCATGTGGGAAATCATGAGGTACAAACCACAGAGACTTAATGTGAGGGAAGAACAAGTTTTCCAGCTCGGGCTCTAATGCTGAGTCTCAAGTAAGTTCTTCCTGGTTGTGCACAAATCCGACAGACACAGGAGTGAAGCAAAAAGACCAAGAGAAAGACACACTACGGTGGCCCGTGGATGTGGCTCCAGGGCTGCCCAGCGCCCAGGCCAGACAGGCTCCTCTTGCTGAGTGCAGAGTCCAGATACCACCTGCACACCTATACTGGCCATGCGTCAAGGGGGAAAAGGTAACCCGAGGCAGAAAAACCAGGAAGCCGAAGGGAGACCTGTGGGGCCAGCCAGTGGCGGCACGAACGTGGGAAGGAGGCAGCTGTGCTACAACAGGTGTGAGCTCAGGTCCCAAAGGAGCCACAGATCCGGAAGGGAGCGAGGTGGTGGCCAGCTGGGAAGGTGGCTCCCTCGGGCACACAGGTCTTACCTCGTCACGTCCGGGGCAGAGGTTGGGTGGACATGCTTCATAATAGTCTGGATCCAATTCCGCCGGATTCCAGATGTCATAGCAGAGAGCGTGAATTCACCCTCCTTGGTCTACACAAAGATGAGCTATTATCAGTGACTGTCACCTCCCACCCCCCAAAGGACATCCAGCCAGATGGCTGTCCTAGGAGCACTGTGTACACCCCCCTCCTTGAATAAGAGCTCGAAAGAGAAAGGAAAGAACAAATCTGCTTTCATGGTGGCCTCAGGCATCTCCATGTTTCTTGTGTGCCTACAATGTCCCTGACACCCAGATGGGTCACCCTACTCTTCAAGGGGCTCACAGACCAGTGGGGAGAGAGCATGAGCCAACAACAAAGCCAGTGTGTGGGGAGCAGTGGGTGGGTAGGGGACCCCCAGGCCGGGGACGCGGCCCACCACCATGCACAGCAGGTGCACAGGTGACTGGGAGACGAGTGGCAGGCACGGGACTTAACAGGGGGTCTGGGCGCAATACGGGCCACAGTCAGGCTGAGAAGGGGCAGGGAGACCCGCTGGGCCGCCAGGGCAGTGGTCCATATAGAGAGAAGAGGGAGGTTTTGGGGAGGTAAAGGAGGTGGTGCGTAGTAGGACAGGACACGGGAGGGGAGAGAAACGGGCTGAAAGTGGCAGCAGGACCAGTGAGTGAAGAGTGGCCTCTAGGACACAATCCTTGTGTCACTGAGCCACCCTGCCAGGCACCACCCAAGAAGGGGAGGGGCAGGAAACGCAGGTGGCGTCTCGTGGAGCACACTTCCCTGCTTCTGCACCCCACGCTCCTTCTCCCAAGAGTGAGAAGGGAATGTTCGTTATGCTGCTCGGGCGACTCACAAATGGATCTGTGAGACGTGCCAGCTACTCTGTAGATGGGAAGATGAAATCACCAGACGGCTTGGGGATGGGCACTGGCACGGCCGGGGGCCATGACACAAGAGACCACGAGCTGACCGAGCAAAAGCTGACCCAGGGAGAGCGGACCCAGCACACCGCAGAGCGTAGCCTGTTCCTGACCGCATCCTCTGGCTCGGGCTCCTGCCTGGGTGCCCAGTCAGGCGGCCCACAGCCCACGCCCAGCTTATCTCTCCTTCATCCGTCTCCCCTCCATGTAAGCCAAAGGCGGGGTGCTGCTCAGAGCTCTCTGAAGCATGGGCCCCTCACGCTCCCGGGACCAGCTCTTACACACCCCTGGGTCCTCTGCTTCCTCTTGCTCCAGGTGTAGGTGTTTCTGGAGTCTGACCTCAGTGATCTGCACATTCTCTTCCATGATCTCATCTCTCCCCTCCAGCAAGCTCTTTCTCAACCAGGTCCACACTCATGACTTCCCACCTAATGTTCTTGGGGAGCTGACCAGGGCCTCAACACACCGCTGGCCAGAATTCCAGAGGCTCCCCTCCTGGGTGCCGCCTGACTTCTGCACAAAGATCACTATGCTTCGGGGTGCGAGGCCTCACACCTGCCCCCTTCTTCACCTGGCAGAGCCACGGCCCACATACCCTTCCACCATGGGCCCTCTCACCACTTTGTTCACCTCCTGCCTCTACCTTCCCAAGTACCCTGTGTGACCTGCTGGATGTGTCTTACTAAGGCACAACTGCCTTGTGCCTTGCGAAGTGTTCTAGAGCTTCCGCCAATCTCGGGGCAAGACAGATTCCTGACCTGGCACTCAGGGCTCCCATGTGCTACCCTCACCTGGCTTCTGCGCTCCGGTTCCTGGTGGGTGCCACCAGATCTGGTGGCCAGGCAAGAACCCTGCACACTCAGCTCTCGGTTGGGTCTCTCAACACTCTAAAGCTCCCTAGTGGCCTGGGCCAAGCCCCTCCTGGAAGCCACCCTCCTGCACTGAAAGCAACCCTGCAACAGTGCGGCTGTGATACGCTCGGTGAGAGGTGCTGACTTAGTGAGCAAGCACTCCTCACCCCTGGGATGCCCACCCAGAGAAACCTGCTCTTTGAAATGGAGAGGTAGGGCTGGACGTGGGGGGCTCAGCATGGGCCAGGAAAGCCCAAATTCGTCCGCCACGGTCTCATTGCTGTCTGATGCGTTGGGTCACCAAGCAGGTCTACCCGTCCTGCGGAGACGAGGGTGTAAAACCATCAGAGCAGGGCGGCACTGGCCACAAAGATCTGGCAGCTCACGTTCCGGCCTTGGTGTCAGGCCATCAGTGTGACCCCCGACCAGGACATGGTGTCCACACAGGTGCCCCGCATGGAGGGAATGCCAGGATTGGTAGCCCAGTGGGCTACTGCCTGGATTTCTCCTTATAATAAACTCTCCAGCCTTCGGGTCTGAACCTCAGTCTCCTCTGGGTTGGTAAATACGACTGGGCCCCAATGTGCCTGATCTACTCTAAGTCCAGAAATACAACTGAGTTTCCAGATGCAAAGATCTGAAGGCAAGAGCCTGTTGGGGAGCCTGGGTGGCTCAGTTGACTGAACACCCAACTTCGGCTCAGGTCATGATCTCACAGTTTGTGAGTTCAAGCCCCGCATCAGGCTCTGTGCTGAAAGCTCGGAGCCTGCCTCAGATTCTGTGTCTCCTTCCCTCTCTCTCTGCCCCTCCCCTGCTCACGCTCTGTCTCTTGCTCTCAAAAATAGATATTAAGAAAAAAAAAAAAAAAAAAAACTAAAGGCAAGAGCCTGTTAAGGGCAACACCACTGGAGCTCTAGTTCCCTGTGAGAAACCAGCCCCGGGTGGCATCTCCGTCTGGCTGCTCACCATCACCCTCTCCGAATGCTCTTGTGATGGAAGGATTAGCTCCGCCCAAAGAGAGGTCTGGCCTTTGCCCCAGCTCCTGGGAAGTAATCTATTCAAGGTGGGGGCTGGTCACTCCATAAAGACCAGCCATGAAGGGAGGAGGCTGGGTTCTGGGACACGTGAAATCAGCCGACGTCTGGGGAGAAGGCCAGAAATTGTGCTCGACCACATGGATAGTTAACTCAATCAACAACAATCATGAAGCTTCAGTAAAAACTCTGGACACTAACTGGGGTGAACTTCCTGGACAGGAAGCTCTGGGTAAAGCACACATCACCCAAAAGGGGAATACATTCCCGAGGACTTGGAAGGTTTGTTTAGGGCCATCCCGGTACAATTCTCCAGGGGTCTTCCTCTGGATTATTCGGATTTGTATCCTTCTGTTAAAACAAAACTACAATTGTAAGTACAGTGTTCCTATGTTTTGTGAGTCTAATTCTTGAGCCTGAGGGTAGTCTGGGGTACCCCTTGATCTTGAAGTTGGTGTCAGAGGGCAGATGCACCAGTTGGAGATTGTGCCCTAATCTTTTTTTTTTTTTCTTTTTTTAAACATTTATTTATTTTTGAAGAACAGAGATACAGAATGTGAGTGGGGGAAGGGGCCGGGAAACAGGGAGGCATAGAATCTGAAGCAGCATCCAGGCTCTGAGCTGTCAGTACAGAGCCCGACGCAGGGCTCTAACCCACAGACTTTGAGATCATGACCTGAGCTGAAGTCAGACACTTAACCAACTGAGCCACCCAGGCACCCTGACTGTGCCCTAATCTTAAGCCTGGCTGCCTCTAGATAGCCTTCAAGCCACCAGTTTTAATGAAATGGCTAAGAACCATTTTATTTTTCCTATCAGATTTCTTTTTTGAGGGCAGATGTAATGCCTTGCTTGCCTGAGTCCCTCACAAGATCGTGGGGGCACGAAAGAATTATGAATAGATGGATAAATGTCCAAATGAAAGAACAAATCCATAAAAACCTAATATTCAAGGCTTAACTAACACTTCCATTTTTATTCCCCATATCCCACGGTCTTTCCCCAATGCCAACATTTAAAATAAAGAAAACAGAACTTTCATTAACAGAAAGCTTCTAAATGGTATTTAGAAGACAGATGCTAATGTCTCCTGTTTTGTTCAGATCACAAGTTGGAGTTGGGAAGGTGCTAAGGACACTGGGAGGCACAGGTCAAGGAACTCCCGCTGAAGAAAAAGAATGCAAGCTGATCACGCCTGTGGGAGGTCAGGCTTATCCACAGGTGTCCCTGGACCAGGACATCAGGTTTTTGGAGAAATGTCCCAGCGGATCAAGCCCATGTCCCCCACCTCCACACCAAGACTGTCTCCAAGCTCCACCCAGGCTCACATGTATCTGAAAGCCGTAGTTTCTCTGGACTGGATACTCCGTGACATCATAACACGTGGACAAGTCAATTTCCCCGTCCAGGTCAGCAGCCTACGGAGAGACAGGAGAGGATCTTAGGAGATTTAGAAAGTAAAGGTGAACACCAAGGCAAGCGAATTTCCACGGCAGCTTGATTTTTAACTGGCATGTCCACTGACAAGTGAGGACACTGCATATCCTTGGCTACCTAGAAGCAGCAATGCTATTTCCCCATGCATCCTGCCAAAGATACCATCCCATCCGTGCCAGGGCTTCTCAAACATCATGGTGGAACTCTTATACTCTTAACAACTGCAGACTCCAAAGAGTTTTCATTTATGTGGGTTTTATCTGTTGATGATATTTAACACAGTAGGAATAAACATGAAAAAAACCAAACATTTATTTGCGCATCTAGGAACACAAACCATTTTAATTTTTATTAAAAAATATTTTTTAAAGTCGGCAAGAGATTTTTTGCAAATCTTTCTTTAAATGCTTGGCTTCCAAGGACAGCTGGATTCTCTCATTTGTTGCTGCATTCAACCTGTCTGATGTATCATTTTGACTGAAGTATGGTTGACCCTTGAACAATATGGGCTGTGTGGGTCCGGTTATACATAGATTGTTTGCAAGGTGACACAGTCCTGTAAATGTACTTTCTCTTCCTTAGGATTTTCTTAATAGCCTTTTCTTTTCTCTGGCTTATTCCATTGTAAGAATACAGTATATGATGCATGTAACATACAGATATATGTTAATCTGTTGGCAGGCTACTAGCAGTTAAGTTTTGGGGGAGTCAGAAGTTAGATGCACGTTTCCAACTGTGTGAGGGGTCAGCACCCCCAACCTCTGCATTGTTCAAGGGTCAACCGTATATGAAGACAGTCCAGCCTAACACAGATACGAACTGGAAAAGGAAGACGTATTTTAATAGTTGTTTCTTTTCTTCCCCCTTGGTTTTATTGAGGAACAACTGACAGCCATCACTGTATAACCTGAAGATGTGCAGCGTGATGGCTTGGTGTACGTATGTTGTGAAAAGCTGTGCTTTCTTAAAGGTAAACTGCAGAGTGGAACCTAAAATCCTGTCAAGGAACTTTCCGTACTGTTATATTAAAATCCATGGTTTTCCCCTGCCTTCTGAATGGATCTTTACTCGTGCATGATTTCCTAACTTTATGTATTGGTCATTTGGAGGATATTAAGTTATGTGTATCTTCCAAGTTGACACATTTCATTATATACGATCAAAACATCTGTTAGTATTACCCCTACTCCATCAGGAGAGTCTGTCAGTAAAGGGAAGTTGTCAAGTTTGTGACAGTGAATACAAATTTTCCAAAGTTCCCATTTCGCTTGAAAGCTCAAATTCTATCAGTGGTGACAAAAAGGCAATTGTCTTCCTTGAAGGAATAGACTCCCTTGGTTCATTTTTAAGCCAGGGTCTGCCACACACCCAAGGTGACTGAGCAGTGTGTCTGTCCGTTGTTCCTTCGAGTGCAGACAGTCCTGCATGAGAAGCCCCAAGTTCGCCTGGCAGCACGGGTGGACAGGGTGCAGGCGCTTCCCCACGAGGCAGCCAAAGTGCCTCATGCTCACCGCCCACACTGAATCGCAGAATACAGAAAAGATGAGTATTCAAGAATTGAGACTTTAAATGGCATTTTAATTTCTCAACAATAGTTTTGAGTGTACCAGTACATCAGCCCCCTGAAAGGGTCTCCATGGACCCAGAGACTACACTCTGAGAAGTGCTGGTCTACGCCCAATACTACCAACCACATGCTCCCGCGTTCCCCGATCAGGCAGCACCAGGGGCCTGCCGCCCACATTGCTCTCACCTACCCTGATCACTAACATCTCTCCACTGCAGCCCATAAACGTTCAGGGCATATAAATGTATATAACTAGCTAAGGACGGATATCTAGATTCTTGCCAATCTTCTGCTACTACAAAAGTGCAGGGACGACTAACCTTGAGCATGGACCTTTTTCTGGATGTGGGAATACATCTAAAGGATTCCTGGAGTGGGATGCAAGGGAAAAGGTAGGAACACAGACTTGCCAAATTGCTCAAAAAAACATGGTATTTTTTAAGTGAAGAAAAGAGCCCCTTATGGTTGGTCTTCAACCATGGAATCAGGACAGTCCACTGGGTCAAGTGAATTCATCTGCCACATCCCATCTTTGTCCAAAGACAAAGGACAAGATTTAGTTCTGTTTCAAGAGACTCAATTCTCCACAAAATTTTTGTAGAAAAAACAACACTGTTCATCCTGAGTTTTAAAATAAGACATCTTTCAGTGTTTTTCAAAGAACAGAGAAAAGAGAAGCCATTGAAACACTGTGCACACGGGTGCCTAAGGCAAAGCCTCAAAACAGCCCAATGTTTCAGGAAGACTCAGTCGCAAGAACATCAAGAGCTGATGACACTATGCTCAGACTTCACACCAGATCTAGGTGGCCACATGGACACCTGTCGATAAGACAGAGGTGATATGAGCCTAGAGAAGCAGTGTCTGGGAGCACTGGGCTCCTGGGTGTCGCCTGGACCCCTTCAGCTGTCTCCACAACTAGGAAGGAAGCCAAAAACACTCACCTCCTCAGCCACTGAATCCCTGTAGTATCTCAGGCTTTGATCAGCAAGGACAAACCAGTGTTTCTTCCACTAAAAGGGAAGGGAAAAACCAGACTCAGCAACCATGCAGCACGTGTACTGCTCCAAGGCAATCCACAGCCAGACTCCTGGGGGCACCTCCCAGAGCACAGGAAAAGCAGAGGGCAGGGGCCCCTCCCAAGAGTGGCAGACACACACAGGCCTCTGCTCAGGCCGCAGGCAGCCATGCGCACATGACGTCAGGGCGCTTGCTAAGCTGCGGCTCCCCTGTGACAAGGCAGCATGGAGAGCTGGGGTGGGCCACAGGCTGTGGGCTCTCTGTAACCCATGGTGGTGTGGCTGGTGAAAAGTGCTTCGCAGTCCTCAATCTCAACTCCAGAGGCTACAGACTGGGGGCTGGGCCCTCAGAGCTGACAAGTGGCTGTGAAAACAGCACCTCCATCCTAAGGTGGCTGTCTGTGAGCCACAGCCACCGGCTGGCTACCCGGAGGGGCACGCCCACCTGCAGCCAGCAGGAGCAAACCAGCCAGCCAGACTCCCAAGTCTTCGCTGTGAGGAGCAAGGAGGGAGACTTGAGTCTTCAGGCAAGGCCAAGGGGAATGATATGGAGAAGAGAGAAAAAGAGGATGTTTTGGCACAGTTGCTCAGGAAGCAAGAAGGGGAACTCAGGAGGGCAGGGTTTCGGGGCCTCGGTATGAACTAGCAGACTCCTCTTCGTGTCTCCTTGGAGGCTTGGTCTTCTAGCCCCAAGCAGGGTCGAGGTGGGGCTGGCAGGTCCAGCTGCAAATGGCTCTCCCTGATGGAGTCTGATGGCAAGAACATACCGCGCTGGCTCCTCCAAGGGCCAGGGCAGAGCTGGCGTCTCTGGCAGAGTCTAGCTGCCCTTGGCTGGTGTCTACTTGGCCTGCCTTGGATGCAACCACAAGCCAACCACACAAGCAGAGGCATCCCCTGTCCCTGGGAAGGCTGGGCTCTCCGGGAACTTTTAGGGAAGACTACCAGGTAGGGAGCTAGTGCTGTAGAATTGACCCCCTAGCCTGAGGCTGAGATTCTTCCCGGGTGCAGGGGGTGATCTTCTTCAGCAGCCCCCACCTCTCACTGCAGAACCAAGGGTCGGGGAGGCTGTGCACCTCTGCTTCCCTGAGGAAAGGGGGGGAGGTTTCGGCCACAGTCCTGGTCCACCAGACAAGAGGTCATGCTGGAGGTGAGGGATAGAGTCAACGCTCCCACCCCTGCTGGGGACAAGGCCAGGCAGACCCCACACCTGCCCCCCAGCCCTGCACACTCACCTGGCCATCCTCTTACTGCTTGGTCAGCCAGCCTTTCTTGAAGTTCAGCAGGTCAGGCTAAGAAGGGAGAAGAAAGACAGTTCAGAAGAAGGCACACTGAGCTATCCCTGTTGTGGGGAAAGGGTGACTGACTGAGGTGCACCAGGTGCCTCTGTCCAGATGAGGTGGGCAGTGGGAAAAGGCATTTCTCCACTTGCCAGACACACCGGGATGGCCCACATTGCTCAGGCAGGTGCTGCCCATAAACCCACCACTGATTCATGTGTCTTCAAGGAAGGAGACGCCGGGCTCAGCGGGCCGACGGGGAGGGAAGGGCATGGCCTCAGTGCCCTGGGGCACAGCAGCGGCTGGGCTGCCCGGATGCTCTGACAGAAGCCTGCCCGGCAGCAGAGGATGGCCCAGAGGGAGAGACAGTTAGTGTTTCACACCAAGGGGAAAATCTGCAGTGACCACTAAAAGGAGAAATCAGAAGTTCTCGCAGAAACCACAGGAAGACGGAGAGAGGAAGACGGAGAGAGGAAGACAAAGGAGCGGAGACCAGGCGTAGTGTTGAGCAAGATGCAGCAGCAACCCTGCCGAGACCTCGAGGCCACCTATCTACCAGGATGAGTTTGAGCCTCCAGGTCTCTGCAAGATGCAAGCCCAGGACAGGAGAGCGGGGGAGCTGTTCCCGCTGGGCTCTACTGCACCTGTGTCCCTGGGCCTGGGGAGCAGCCCAAGGAAGCACTTTAGGACCACCTGGAGCCCCGCCGGGCCCTGCTTGTGTTTCACAGCTGGGCACCTGGGAAGCCGGCACCTAAAGAGACGGCAATCCTCCTTCCGCTCAGCCCACACGCTCGCTCTCACTGTTCTACAGCTACCTCCACCAGAAACAGGCTGCGATGTCTTTCTGTATCTGAAGGACCATGAAGGAGTTACACGAACTGGGCAAAGTGGCTGGATGACCACCAGAAACACGTGTTCCGGGAGCCTCTGCGCCAAACCTCAGAGCAGCATCCAGACTCCAGGAAAAGACAACCTTCTTCTAGATAAGAAGCCCTCCTGTCCTGGCTCAATTGTGTGTGTGGCTGGTGGCTCCACACCCTAGGGGTAGAAGTGGCCCCAACCATGGGCTTTTCAGAAGGCTGAGGACAAGGCAGAGAGGAGCCCCGGTGACCACGTGCATAGCTGTCCTTCATTCCCAGGGCCTCTGGCCGGCCACTCTCAGCTCCCCAAGGGAGTGACGGTCCCGTCTGGCCACTCCCCACCTGTACCTCTACTGCTGCAGCTCAAGTGACCTCGGGCAAAGGCGTGTCTCCTTCTGCCCTGAGACACCAGAACGAGGCAAGGGCTCCCAGCAAGAAGGGGCTCCTGCCTCCCAAATGTCACAGAAACAAAACACCCAGAGCAAGGACAGAGGCCCCTTGCTGCTGTGGCCCTAGGTCTCTGAAATCAGCATTTTGCTGCCTTGGCCAGGTGGCCTCCTCTACCGGTGGCCTCAGAGCTCAGGATGCCCCCGTGTCCAGAAAAGGGAAAGAAACACAGCATCTGCTTCCCACGCGCAGACACAAAGGCCCGTACAGAGGGGACAGCCAGCATGGACGCACGGACGTAAGCAGACAGTGACCCCGAGTGACAGAAGCAGCAGGAGCAGCGCCTCCAGGCCTCGGTGCGCGGGCGCCTGGGCTCACCGTCAGGGAGGACTCCGTGGACCTCCTGTCCAGTGACTTGGCTCTTCGGTGTGGAGACAGGGGGGAGGCCAAGGTGTCCGGGAGAGGAGCTGTGGGGGCTTCGTTGGGGAGGTCCTGTGGCAGAGAGCAGCCTCCAGTCAGTATGAGCCAGGAAAGTCAGGCGGGGAGTAGGGAGATGGCAGCCGGAGCTGCGGGAGGGTCAAGACTGTTTCCAGGCGAGGACGAGAGCGCTTTGTCTGGGCTCCCATGGCAAGTCTGGGCCAGAGAAGGGACTGAAGCCAGTGTCCCGGGACTCCTCATCCAGCGCCTTCCGCTTTCCCGCAGCGGTTCAAAGACGCATTTGTTGTTAAAGCAGCCTTTTCTTTCAGATGCGCTAGACACCGTCACTCTCCTGTCCCATCCCTGTCCCCTGGCTTCTCGGGGTCCCAGAAGCAAGAGTCCCAGGCTCTCTGCGAGCAGCAGAGCACCTCCTGAGCCCAGACAGGCTGGGGTGGAAGATGAAGACTGGACACAGCAGGGCCACAAGAGGCAGGTGGGCTGCCTGGGAGGAGGAAGAGGATTTCAGAAGAGAGATCTGCCTCACGGACTAAGTAGAGAAGCAAGAGCAACAGCTGCTACTCGAAGGAAAGAGGAAGGAAGGTGCTCAGCCTCATGGCTGGGCTGCCTCAGAGAAAGAGAGCAGCTGCAGTTATGAGCTGGGATCTAAGGCTCGCTAGACTGGCCTTTAGCAGGGTGGGATGAAGTTCCGACAGGAAGATGCAGAAGACAGGCCTTGCCCTCAAGAAAGTCACTAACTAGAGATGAGACACACGAGCAAACACCTAGGAAGCGAGAGCAGGAAGCCCAGCGGAAGTGCACCCGGGTGTGCCTGGGGCTCCTGTGAGAAGGTGTGGGGCCGCATGCTGATGGGGCCCCAGTGGCCGCACATGGCACCACTGAGGCCTCAGCACTGGCCCCAGGCCCCAGACACTCACCCGTTTCCTGGGAAATGCTCTCTTCTCACTCCGGCCCTGGCGAGTGTCACTTGATGGTGAGGGCCCGGCTGATGAGTTAGTCTCCATGTGCTCTGCCTTCTCAATGTCCAAGGCCTCAAATTTCTCTATGACCTGGGACCTCCTACAAGAGAGGACACGAGGCTGCTGAGGGGGAGACAGCATCCCCCCCCAGCCTGAGGCGGGCCTGGTCTTGAGTTGCAGAGGACTCCTTCAGCCAGCACCGCCATGCCGGGCCCATCCCAACCTTCCCTGGGCCTCCCCCTTTGCAAGGGCATGTAGGCTGTGCACACAGGGTATCTGGCCAGTTCACGTGACACCCTGGCCCAAGCTCTCCTCCCACCACCATGGAGAGGGGAAGCCGTGCAGGGGATGGTAGCAACTCAGGGGCAAGGCCTTCCCTTCCCCCGAGCCTGTCCTTGCTCTCTACCCGCCCCCCCCACCAGAAGCCCTTGCATGGTCTGTTGACACACTTGGCAGTCACACAGCTCATCGCCTGGCCTCCTGTCCTGAGCCACAGATATGATCTGAAGGCAGCTGCCGCCTCAGAGTGGGTGGTAGCCTCGGTCCTCATTGCAACCCTCAGCAGACCATGATGCAGCCCCCACCCCAGGGCATCCAAAAGTTAGCAAGAAAAAGGCCCATGAATTAACATTGTTTCTGCCAACAGTAAAAGGAATTAAAAACCAAATTAAAATAAAAACAAAGCAAGTTGATTTCGTGTGAAAGGCCGGTGCATCATCAGGCCATCTACGGCTGGAGACGGAGCTGAGATGGGAGCGAAGCAGGCGAAGGAAGGGCGAGTAACGTCACACAGCGACACAGCAGGAGAAGGTGGAGAGGGGCAAGACCTGAAAGAAAATAAGGCTGGAAAATGAATAAACAGAAAGGGACTGCTTTTTAAAATCAAATAATGGTAAATCAAAATTACCCAAAGAATTAAAGAAACAAAAACCCAAGGAGATCACTGAGAAGGGGAGACCATCCTTGTCCTGGAGTCACAAGGAGTCGCCACAGTGGCTGAGGGCAGGGAGGCCAGGTGGAGCATGTGGGCTGAGGCCCAGTCCTCAACCCCTGGGGGCCTGACACTTGGACATTGTTTCAAACTGGGACAACAAGGCCCAAAATGGACTTAGTTGTGCTAAGCCCACATCACCAAGCTGAGACTTCATATCTAAATTTCAGTTTCAACATCTCCTAGAAATGTCTTAAAACAGCCAATCTGGAATTACCTGGTAAGCACTAGTGAGGTGCTGTGTCTGAGAAACTTGTGCTGTCCCCCAAAGGAAGGTGACCTTGCCTGAAACAATGCAGTCTTTGCCAGTAACTTCCTTGTCCTGCTCCCTTCTGTCTTTAATTTTATACAAATCCTCAGAGATCTTTTCTATCCCCTAGATGGGATGCTGACTCACTGAATAAAGCCAATAAGATCTTTAAAATTTACTCAGCTGAATTTTGTTTTTACAAATTTGGTGGCAGTGGTGAGACTCGTAGGAAACTTTGGACAACTTCAAGGACAATGAGAAACACAGCTAGCTCTGATACCTGTGAACTCTGTTTTCAGTCTTTCTCACCATTTCCAAGGGCCATGGGAAAATCCTCTTGGTTCTGAGCTCTGCTCTCTTTGTGTTGAGCTCTTGATCTAATTGGCTTCCTACAGTCCCCCACTCGACTGGACCATGGTGGGAACCGTGGTTAGTTCAGTTTGCAGTACTGCACTTGACTGGAATCTCCCATCCTTGGTTTAGTACTCAGATTCCCTATTGGGGACTTCTGATGGTTTGGTGTGCACTCCCCATGTCACGGGAGTCCTCGTCCACAGTCCCCATTCTTTGGGGTCCCCTGGTTCAGTACTTTCCCCAGTCTCCAGTTCCACATTGAGCACTGCTGATGGTGCACACAAAGCCTTTTAATGGGTTAGTAATATCTCAGTTACTGCTGGTGCATTAGTGTGCCACAAGGTAAAGGCTAGTGAGAATCTCAGAAGCCAAATGCTACAAAATTGGTGGGCACAGGCTGAACACTTAAAAACTCTTAAGAGTGCTTGGCACCTAACTCTAAGAATCCCATGTCAGGATAGGCTGGTCATGGAACAGACACATGAGGGACACTAAGTCACGTGCCAACCTCAAGAAAATTTCCATGCAACAAGGTACACTGTAAACCATCACACAATTCCCAACCCAGCAGCACATCCCTTTAGGTATTAATTTGGTTCTATGAGACTCAAAGGCTTAGCTGGAAGAGACGGGATCTTTAAATTCCAGAGTTGGGCACACTGACTTCCAGCACCCCTATACTTATTTTACAGCTAAGAACTATAGTCCCAGGAACTATAGATACCTACAAAAATGCAAAAATCTTCCTAAAGACAACCCTGAATTACAGGGGCCATTATGGGAGTATTCCAATTAGACGAAATCATTTATTTAAAGAAGTGCATTTAAAAGCAGGGCTTCCTAAATCAAACAAACAGAACGGGATACGTATTTTAATTGGTTTGGAGAAGCTTCCAAAGGCTTCAAGATTCCAAAAACAGTTTCGTTGAAAATTTTGTTGTAAAGGGTAATGAAAAATTAAAGACACAAAACGTACTTAAAACAATACCTAGGTCTCTCTCATTACACTTTCCTGGAAGTACAGCATCAAAACTTGCTCAGACATCAGTATCTCATTTGTAACCAACTGGGCCATTAGAAAAAATTCTGTCCTCAAACATTTTGGGTAAATCCTTCAATACCAACTTGAATGTTTTCATATCTACCTTTGGAGATGGCAGATACGGGCCCTCCCATAGGTGGTGGGGCTCTGGGAAGCTTCCTGGTAAACTGCTACATTATTTTCTGAAACAGCCAAGGAAAACTAAAATGAACGAAAAACCTTGCCAAATTCTGGTAGACACCAGAGGCTACAGAGGGGATCCCGAGAGAACTGGTAGCAGCCAGGGAGCGAGAGTTCATACCAAAATCAGCTCTCCTGAATGCCCAATTGAGAGACCAAAATAAACTTTCACACTGTCCCTCCTTTTCCAAATCCAAACCCACTGGTTCTTGATCCTCTCTCTTCAGGGACAGCTACTACCTTCTTGCTTGTTTTGTGTCCTAAGACCTTGGCTTGGTTTTCTGCCTGGATGGGACATGCAGGTTGCTGGTTCTTTCTTTTGGCTATCTGTGGGAGTAACTCTGGATCTTGGGAAGGCACGAAGTATCCTTTATACCCTCTTTGGGGTCCCCACTTAATCCCTCTGGGGTTCCCCCCACCAGAAGGGGAGGTGTTCCCCCACCAGAGAAACATTTGTCCTGGCTGAAAAGTGACAGGATATTTAAAATAAGTTTTTAAATAGTTCTGTGGTCAGAGGTTGGCCAAATTGGAAGCTGATAATCAGAGCCTGATATGGTTGCCTAGGCCTTTCTTCCCTAAGCTAAAATGAAACTATATACCAGAAGAAAAGAAAAAGTATCTGAAGCCTCTGTGAAAGGATTTATTAAAACATTCCAAAGAGAAACAGTTCTAAATCCAGAACACAGAAATCTTTTCATTTCCACCTTAATTGGAAATCTCCCTGATACAAAGAAGCAAACTGAGGATAATGTAGCTGGATGGGTGGATCAGCTTATGATACCATTTAAGGCAAAACCCAGAAACCTTTGAGGAATTAGAGCAATTGTTCACAAAACCAGAAATTCGGCTCTGGAAACACTTCAAAGTCCATCTATCGTTTTTACCAATACCAAAACCTCCTCTATAGATCTCCAAAGGCTTGTCAAGTATTGTAAAAATTCTGGCCTTAGGAAACAAAAGGCCTTCTAGGAAGCATTTATATTCTTTCCTTGTGCCTTTGTGATGTAAATGTTCTACCTGGTTTCTCTGAGACCTCTTATCTAAGATCTACTCTTTGAAATACAAACTCCAGGGAGAGAATTCTTACCAGAGAAACAAAAGGAGAAAGATTATTTGGAACATGAGTAAATGAAAAAAGTGTCTTCTCCATAAAAATAAAAGCTTTTGCCATCTTACCATGTGACCTTATTTCATCTGCCAGAAACACAATTTGGATCCAACTTATAACTAGTGCATTTTATATTAATGTATCTCTCCATGGCTAAAATTTTAGAATGGAAGCTATTGTGTGTGTGTGTGTGTGTGTGTGTGTGTGTGTGTGTGTTTTCTACCTATGGATGGTATTGCCAAAATTAATTTGTAAAAGAGCTCTCTCAGGTCATGATCTCACAGTCCATGAGTTCAAGCCCTGCGTTACGCTGTGCTGACAGCTCAGAGCTTGGAGCCTACTTTGGATTCTGTCTCTCTCTCTCTGTCCCTCCCCTGCATGCATGCTCTCTCTCAAAAAATAAACATTTTTTTAAAAGAAGCTCTATTTAATTGGGTTCAAGAAAATAAAGTGCTTATATGAATTAAGTATTAACAATATTCTAAAAATTATAACAGAGAGCAACCTAATGCTTTTTAGGTTCATGTGATCTAGGAAAATATTCAGTATTAATACTGATTTAAGTCTGCTAACTTAGTTAGAAATGACATGTCTTCAGAGTTATCAGCATTAACTCTAATACCTTCCTACAACTTTTATTCTATCTGGGTTTATTGGTCAAAAAGCTGATGGAGCCTATGTTATATAACACAGGATGTTGGCTGACTTTGTCCAAATGTTTCACCAAGTTTTCATGGGTAGTCTAAACCCAACTGATCTATGAACTGAGATATGCATTTTTTAGGTGAACTTTTCAGTAATAATTATATTTTTGGTATGTCTACTTTAATGGTTTCCCCAAATTTTTTTCATAACTTAAAGATCTGAAGAGTTTTACTAAATTAAATGATGAGTAGTCAATGAATGCTTAGATCATTTCCAAATAAAATACTGAAACATTAATTGCTGAACATTGGTTTATCTACTTTCTTATTATAAAGAAATTAAAGATATTTGGGTCTATTAATGAACATATTTTGTGCTATACTGAAAAATCTATTATGAGAAAGCATGTTTCCAGAACATACAAAATGTATTTATAAATTTGCCAAGCCACAGAATGCTAACATAAGACCGTTCACAATTATTTACTACTCTTTCACAAGAAATTAAGGTTTTTAGGGGTTAAAAATTCA